GACCCTATTGTTTTTGTTTTTTTTTGTTTTTTTTTATCACGTTGGGTCCGCCGTTCCTCGCTTTTTTCACCGAGTTATTTATAGTATTGCCCAGAGGTACGTTATATAATATGAAAAATTTTTGGAAAATCGTGAAGCAAACGAAATTTAAGACAAAGTCGGACTTCAAATCTAGATAAACTGATTTCTCATAAATACCAAAAGTATGTTATAATGCCATGGTGCACAGATTGACAGTAAGGTCCTGATATAAAGTGTGTTGTATCAAGGAATGATTGAAAATTGAGAAGCATGTTAAATTGTCAGTTTTGCCCTGATGGGTCCGCTAATCTCGCTATTTACCCGAAATTAATTCGATTTTATTTCATATTGATATCACAATCTCGTAGAAACACCAAGTTAGAACCAGTAAAATATAAGACAAAAACTAAATTTCTCTTTTTTTAATAAATATATCGCATTTTTCGCTATTTCAAATAAGAAAAACGGCCTGACAAATTTCGTCAAAATTCACATGCGTCTCTGTTTCCGCCCATTTCTTGATATGTATAAGACAACTTATATCAGGGCCGTACCATAAATCTACGTACCATGGCATTATACTATTGTTTGGTACTAAAAAGAAATCAGTGTTAGCATGTATTTGAAATCCGTTTTTTCTTCTTTTTCATAATATACAATCTATATCAAGACCATAGCAAACATGCCAACACAAAAACAGCGAGGGCGGCGGACCCATCCTCCAAGAGAAAAATGATGAGGTTTCACGAACGTCTAAGCAATCCAGTTAACAGGAGAAAAACTGGACCAGACTTGGGTTTTGTACAATTTTTATAAATTAAAGAATTAGCGAGAACAAGCGGACCCATCATTCAAGAGTCGTCAAAAATATTCAAAAGTCATCAGTTCATCATTCTGGCTGGAAGTCTAACTTCAAATTAAGACAAATTGCCAGACAAACTTCATTCCGACGAGGGATGATAAAAAGCGAAAAACATATTGTTCAGGGTAGGTTTTTCTATTGAGAGAAAACAGCGAGTGCAGGCGGAGCCATCCTCCAAGGGAAAAATGTTCTGACGAACGTCTGAACCAATGAACAGGAGAAAAAAAATCGGGTCCAGACTAGGCCTTTTTATAAGAATTCCACATCAATATTAAACATAATTGGTTATATTAAGAAAAAAACAGCGAAGACAGGTGGACACACCAACAATTTCACACGCTTCTCCGTTTCAGCCCATTTTTTGATGCCAGACATATCAGAGCTGTACCATAAATCTATAAAACCATGGTATTATACTACACTTGGTACTAAAAAGGAATCAGTTTTAGAATTCGATATCAATAATAAACAAAATCGACTGACATTTAAAATGAAATAGCGAGAAAAGACGGACGCAGAAACAGTTAAGTACATATCCTTCTCTGTTTTCGCCCATTTCTTGTTAGAAGATTATCTAAGCCTCTCAATTTTCCAAACCTTTTTCACATTATGTAACTATATCAAGAGGACACTATAAAACTCTGGTGAAAAACAGAATAACGTGACCAATAATCATTGCCTCTTGGTAATGAGGTCTGAAGAAGGTGTAAACCACTCACTGAACAGGAAAAACCTGACTGGTTCTAACTTGGTTTTTCTAGCGCGTTATCAGAATTAAATAAAATGGAATAAACTCGTGGGGGGGGGTAGAATTAGCGAAAAAAGGCGGACGATCATGTTAAAACTGAAAATTTCACATATTTCCCAATTTTCGTTTATTTCTTGATACAACCTAACTCATTCAAGCCCTTAGCATAGATCTATGTGCCATGTCATTATACAACACTTCGGAACTAAAAACAAATCAGTATTTACCTAGAGTTGAAGTTCGTATGTTTTTCAATTTCTAAGTATTTCTTGACATTGTATTTCATCAAATGTCAAGATTGCACTGTATTTAGGTGAAAAAACAGCGAAGACTGAAGGAGAGAGAATAAGTGAGTGAGTGAGAGGAGATAGAGAGAGAGAGTGAGTGATTGAGTGCATTCATGAATGAGAGAGATAGAGAGACTGACTGAATGAACGAGAGGGAGAACGTGAGAGTGAGTGAATGAATGACTGAGTGAATGAGAGGGAGAAAGTAAGAGTGAGAGAAAAAGAGTGAGTGAATGACTGACTGTGCGATTGAGAGGGAGAAAGAGAGATAGAGTGAATGAGTAAGTAAATGAGACAGAGAGAGTGACTGACTGACTGAATGAGAGCGAAATATAGAGAGTGAGTGAATAAGAGAGAGAGATTGGGAGGGGGGAGAGTGACTGACTGACTGAATGAAAGCGATTGAATGAGTGAGTGTCATCCACAATTCAATCGGTACCCCAAGTGGTTGAAATCTGACCAACTGTCGGAGGAGGATAGGATTAAAACAATCAATATTCTGTTTGGTATAATATATTATAAATTTTAATATTTACTTAATGCTCTTAATCTTGGGTCCACCTTGTCTAGTTGTTGGTTAGATTCTTTTTTAAACATCCCTGTTTTCAAACGTCCTTTTTTCTACACCTTCGAAATTCACACTATTAAGACTCGATAAGTTTTTTGTTTTTTAATGTATGACGCAGTTGAAAGCAGATCCGCGATGGGGCGAGAGCTGCAGGTGGCGGACAAAAGCTTAGATAAGTCCCAGGGACTTGTCATCGGGCGGGGGGCGGGCGGGCTTCTCAAGTTGAAAGCCACCCGGCCGAATAATTGCGAGAGGGAGGGGAAAAAAATTCACCGCCGGCTTTTTTTCTCTCTCTTACAGTCTTACTTCCTTTTTTCTTCTTTTTCCCCCCAACGTCGACACCGGCCGCCGCGGGGGAAATTTCGCGGAAAAGTCCGTATTCCGATTGTGCTTAAGCATACACGGCCGGGGCTTTGGTCGTACTGAAAAAGATCCCCCCCCCCCGTTTTACTTTTACAGGCAAAGGAAACGAGAATATTGAACAAACGGCTAAAAACTGAAGGATCGTGGAGCGAGACAAGGCGGACCCAAGATTAAGTCCTACATGTTAAAATTGATCATATACTATACCAAACTTTATTGTTAGTTTTTAGTCTTGTCCAACATGTCTTGGCACAACTGACCAGACTTCAATACCATTTGGTTACTGGTCGCTTGATGGGTCCGCCTCCCTCGCTGTTTTTCACCTAGAAATTTCACGGTACAATTTTAACATAGGTTGTGCAATATAAAGAAATACTTAGAAATTGAGAAGCATATAAATTCAAAATAAAATTGAATTTGGAATCTAAGGTAAAGACTGATTTCTTTTATATCCCAAAGTGTGGTATAATGCCATGGTACACAGGTTCACAGTAAGGCCCTGATATAAGTTGTGTTGTATCAAGGAATGGTTAAAAATTGAGAAGCATTCGAAATTTTCAGTTTTACCATGATTGGTCCGCCTATTCTCGCTATTTATACCGAAGTTATTCGATTTTGTATAACACTGACATCACACTCTCATAGAAAAACCAAGACTAGTCCATTTTTTCTTCTCTTCACCGAATAAGAGGTTCAGACCCTATCATTTGGGGGGATCACGTTGGGTCCGCTGTTCCTCGCTTTTTTCGCCATTATTTATAGTGTTGCCCTGAGGTACGTTATATAATATAAACAATTTTTGGAAAATCACATATGAAAATTGAGATTTGAATCTAGATAGATATTAATTTCTCATAAGTACAAAAGTATGGTATAATGCCATGGTATATAGGTTTATGGTATGGTTCTGAAATAAGTTGTGTTATACCAAGGAATGATTGAAAATTAAGAAGCAAATGAAATTTTTAAAGGTCACATGATGGGTTCGCCCCTCATCGCTGCTTTTACGTTACTTTGTTAAATTTGGTTTATTGTTGGTATCGAGTATTTAATAAAAATCTAGTCGGGTACAATTTTTTTCTACCGGTCACAGGTTTAGACTTTCTTCAAACCTAATTTTCCACTTGGCTACTGGTCAAATTTTGCATCCGCATGTACTCGCTGTTTTGCACCTGCATCTTATAGGGAATAGTACCGATACGATTGTATAATATGAAAAAGTTTTGGGAAATCGTGAAGTTTACGAAATTTAACTTAAAACGGCTTTCGACTCGTAAGGAAAACACTGATTTATTTTATGGTCAAAAATTGTGGTATAATACCACGGTTCACAGGCTTGTATCAAGGAATGGTTGGAAATTGAGAAGCATGTGAATACGTACTGTTCCCTTGATGGGTCCGCCCTACTTCGCTGTTCTTTCTAATTCTGTTCTAATTCTTAATTCCAGTAGATTTTGTTGAATATCGATATCGAATTTTTATTTAAAAAAGCCAAGCCTGGTCCATTTTTCTCCTGTTAACTGGCTTAGATGCCTTCCAGACCATGATGCTTAACTGTCGGATGATGAGTCCGCCTGTTCTCGCATTTTCTCCGTTTTTTTTTCTTTCAATAAAAAAAGAAACAAAAAGTATATATGGAGTTCTTGAATAACTATCTATTCTAGTAGACGTTTGCCTCGTTTTTTCCTTCCATTAGACGATCATCAGACCTTAACATTTTCAACCTTGTGATCTCGCTGTTTTTATGTTGGGGTGTGTTATGGTCCTAATGTAGGTTGTATATTCTGAAAAAGAAGAAAAAACGGCCTTCAAATCCAGGCAAACATTGATTTATTTTTAGAACCAAACTATAGTATAATGCTATGGTCCGTAGATTTATGGTATAGCCTTGATGTAGGTTGTCTTGTATCAAGAAATGGGCGGAAACAGAGAAGCTGTAAATTTTTAGTCCTCCCTTGGTCCTCGCTAATTTCTCCTTAATTTTGCTCGATTTTGTTCGATATTTATATCGAATTATTATTATTAAAGAAAACCAAGCCTGGTTCATTTTTTCTCCTGGTAACTGGCTTAGAGGTTCATGAAACCTCATCATTTTCCTCTTGGATGATGGGTCCGTGTGATCTCGCTGTTTTCGGTGTAAAGCCCGTAAAAACCTCGATCACCTCGCTATCTCTTGGTCGTGAGAGGAACCGCGTGCAAGCCCCGCGTCTGTGCAGAAGCCGCGTCCGGACTTAGTTTGCACGAAGCCCGTCCAGTAAACAATTCGGCTTTCGAATGGCGAAATCGCCTTCGCCCTGGGACTTTCACTTCCGGCCCAGACCGGCTGAAGATGCGTCTTCTGAGTGAGCTGAGGCTGTCCGTCCTCGCCCCGGCCCTCTTCTACCTCCTTCTTCTACTCCTCGCCCTACGCTCCTCGGTGCCCCTCAGGCCCAAGAAGCTCGACCTCGACACCATACTCGAACGGATGAGGAAGAAGAAATTCGAAGTGAAAGAGGCAATCGTCGAATACCAGGAGGTCAACAGGACCCTACCTCCCGTCCAACTGCTAACAGTAATTTTCAAAAGGTTTACTTCAAAAAGATAATAGTTATAAATATTCATTACTATACAATTAAATAATGACAAATTGTCGCACTTTTTTTAAATGAAAATTCGTACAAAACTGATTCAAATAGAAAAATCATCCGCTAAGTGTTTTTCGCAGATAAGGATTTTATTAATCCGATAGAACTTTTATTGGTTGGGCGAATTCAATTTTTTTTTCTTTCATTCCAATTTTGTCTCGGCATTTTAACCGTGACTAAACAATTTTTCTTCAGACCACGATAATTAGTGAGATTAGTGCAGCTTATCTTTTTTTTCCATCAGTTCCATTTATTGATTACAAATATAATACAATAATTAATTTTTATTACACAATTAATAGTATATTTTAACTTTTATTTTATTTTGATAAGTTTTATTGCTCAGATGGCCTCATATTTGAATTTAATTACAAAATACACTGACTGGCAAAAATTCCACCCACTTGTAATTTAACTTGATTTGTATATAATAAGCCAAGAGGAGGAAACAAGCAATATTAAAATGTTAATTAAAAACCTAATTTAAAAATTTTTTTTTAACTTTTTTAGACAAAGACTCAATTATTAAATGTTAAAAAACCTGAACTTTGAGTAATACATAAACTTATGATTTTTTCTTCTTGAAGGTGGGATAATAGGTCATCAAATGACCTATTATCCCACCTTCAAGAAGAAAAAATCATAAGTTTATGTATTACTCAAAGTTCAGATTTTTTAACATTTAATAATTGAGTCTTTGTCTAAAAAAGTTTTAAAAAAAATTTTAAATTAGGTTTTTAATTAACATTTCAATATTGCTTGTTTCCTCCTCTTGGCTTATTATATCTCAAAGACGCCTTGTTGAAATTCCTGCCCACACCATCACTACATTGAAAAGGTTGGCTCTGGGAAAAATTAAGCTTTGTACCTTTCATTTCACCTTCTCCACACTCTTTCACACCCATCTTGAGATCAAAGAGCAAATCTGTACTCATCTGTAAAAAGTACAGCAGACCAATCATCCAATCTTCTTGAGCAAATGCGAGCCATGTAACTCAGTGTGTTCCAGTCGATTCTGGTCCTGGGCAAGAAACCATCTATCCATACTGATTTAATCTTCTTCGAGCAGTTCGTTTATAAATTTGGACACCTCAAACCTCCTAGAGCTGATAAATCGCTTGAATGGTAAGGTGCCGGTTTAGCAAAACTCTCAAAGTCTAAAAATGGGGTCATTCTGTGTTTCTGTTACCCTAGGGCATCCAGGGTAGAGTAGGGATGGTTAAGTCTCATCAATCTTCTTTTCTATATTATTCGTGTAAGTTCCCCATTTTCATGTCTTTGTCAGGACAGTCGCAGCCTTTATTTTGCCTGCTGCAGCCCTGTACACCATGTTCCACAGATTTATAGAAGTTGTTGCGCAACAATACTTCTTCCAAGACTCCTATTTTATACTTATTTATTATGAAGTGCAGCTTATCTATGCTACAAAATTGATCTAATTCAATATGAGAAAGTAAAACTTATACTCCAATAAAAATACATCTACCGACTATGTAATAATTTAGTAATAAAGTTTATTAATTGGTCTTGCTGACTTCTTCCTGTTAAGTCTTGAAATGCTAAGAATGTTCAAAGGGACTTTGCATTTCTGGCTGTCTGGAGTCGATTTTACATAAAAGTACATGATAATTAAACCTTAAATGTGTATCGATATGTACATATAAAGGAACTCACGGTGTGAGAGAAAAAAAAAAGACGTCTGTCTAAAAAACGCTGAAAATGTTCGAAGAATGTTCCATTTGAATTAGCTTTCAGGCAGTTTTCATATGAAAAAGTACAAAACTCATCATTATACAAAATATAATAGTACCGGCTGCCTGAAAAAGCCTAACAACTTATTAAAAAGCACAATTATTAATCAATCTAAATGGAAAATCCTATTAATTAAAAAATAATTTAGCATTGAGGTGGCTTTTAAACAGATTTTGAAATTTATAAAGTACCAACTGTCTGTATTTAGAAAATTTTGTGATTTAGTAGTTCAATCCGTTTTCTTTTATGAAATTAGGGCAGATAGAGACAACAACAGTCGACTTACTGTGAAAGAACTGTCCGACTATATCCACCACAGGACAAAGACTCACATAGAGCAGGCGACGAAGGAGAACTATGGCCTTTTCATGTCAATCGATAAATCGCCTCGGAACGGTGTTGTGACATGGGAAGAGTACCATGCTTACTTCCTTGAGAAGAATGGACTCGACAAGGACTATATAAAGATGCACACAGAGAAGCACCAGGGCCTTGGTAGGTCGTTGAAAGAGGCGATCGCTCGCGACAAGGCATCGTGGTATGAGGCGGCCAAAAGCGACCCGGATTTCCTCACGCTCGACGAATTCCTGACGTTCCGACATCCCGAGTCGAGCCATACGACCATACTGGCCATCGTCGACGACCTTCTCGACAAGCTAGGTATAAAAAATAAATTTGTGTATGTTTTTATCTTGTTTTTTCCCCCCTTAAAAAGATAGAGATGGCGATGAACTTCTCACCGAAGAAGAGTTCGCCATGCTTCAAGTCAGTGGCAGCGAGACAGTTGTATCTCAAGGCGAAGCGCAACGGCGCGAAGAGTTCAGAAATATAATCGACATCGATAAAAATTCAGTTGCAGACAGAAAAGAGCTTATCGTAAGACATAATTTTTTTTTTAACAAATACGTTCTTTATATAATTCTTTTTTTTTTTTTAATAATAAGAAATACATTGATCCAAAGAACCCAAGACATGCCAGGGAGGAAGCGGAGACGCTTATGACCCTCGGAGACACCGACAAAGACGGCCAGCTCTCCCTCGACGAAGTCCTGTCCAAAATGGATCTCTTCCTTGGATCCAAAATGGTCAACACTGCTCGTAGCTTCCATGACGAGTTTTGATACGGTGGCGCAAACATCTACCAGAGACAATAAACTTTTTTTTATAAAGGCTTTGCACAAAACATCAATGCCGACAATAGTCTAAAAAAGTCAATAATTAATTTTCAAACAATAAAAATTATATTATTCTATTTAATATCCTTGTAATATATTTTTAAAGAAATTTTCAAAGGAAAAAATACGGTTTTTTTCTGTAAAACTATGCTGGCATCGGGAAAAGGTTTCAAAACTATGAAACCTAGCCAAAAACAAAATTTTCTTTCAAATTATTTTTTTTTTCCCCCGATCTTTAATGTACATTATAAATAACAAAAAATTGTAAAAATGAGAAAAGTGACAACAAAAAGACGTTATTTACACACAAAAATATTCATTAAGGCGCACAGCGATTTTATATATATATTCATTCACATAAAGTCCGACAGGCCTTTTTCGATCTCTTTGCCCAGCTCTGACCACTCTTCCTCGCCATCACTGTTCGTCGTATCGGTGACGATTTCTTCTTCTTTATCGTCGTCGTTCTCGTCTGGAATAGAACAAAGAAAGACTGAGCGAATAACCTATTTTGAAAAATCCACAGTGCTCTTGATATACTCTAGGTGTTATAACCTAACGCTACAGTTACCAAAATATATATATATATATATATATATATATATATATATATATATATATATATATTCTATGATTTTGGTATAACTTAAGACATGAAAATTAGCCTTTTTGGTACATTGTAGACTTAAAAACAATCACTAAGTTAAAAAAAATTAAAGCCACAATAAAAGTAAAACGACTCAAATAAAAACAACCAAAAAACATTGGCACCGCCTTTTCAATATACTGTTTGCCTAAAAAAAAACCTTCGGTAGTTCGGAAGGAAACAAAACCTTCGGTAGTTTGAAAGGGAAAAAACCTTTGGTAGTTCAGAAGAAAAAAACTTCGGTAATTCGGAAAGGGAAAAACCTTCAGCAATTTGGAAGGAAAAAACCTTCAGTAGTTCAAAAGGAGAAAAAAACAATCATAATTACTATAAATGGTTGGCTATCAAACAACTTTGGAGCAAATTAGACTTTTTGGTATGATGTAGAGCTTAAATCACCAAGCACTGTGGTTCCCAAAAAGAGTCTAGTGCAGGCCAATTAATTTGTTTAGTATTCCGATTGTATTTCATATTCATATTTCGTTAATGATAGTTAAAGAAAATTTACCATTGTCGCTGTCTTCTCCGACCTCCAGCGCCATTTCATCCATTTCCTCTTGGGACAGCGATATAAACTGAGGTATCCCCTTTGGCTGGAGCGACTTGCAAAATGGGATCGGCGGCCCGCCAGTCCCGACGTCGTAGAGCCGTTCATCGACCCTCTCCCAACGCTGGGCAGATGCTATGAGCCAGTGCGGGCTGACAACAGAGACACCCTTCATCTTCCTGGCTTGGTGTACTTTCGCCGTTCCCTTCACGGCGGCAATCAAGTGGGTCGTGTTCGGCCCGAGCTCCTGGGCAATGGTCGCGCCGAGTTTCATGGCCATCTGAGCCGCTACAGATTCGTCCAGGGGAACCTTGAGTGGTACGAGACCCGACAGAACGATCTCACAACCCTTAAGCACCTCGGAGCGTTCCTCAACAATCACTTTCTTCACATCCGCCCCGCCTTCAATTTTCTATCAAAGCAAAAAAACAAAATTTATTTTATTATTTTTTAAAAATCTCATTTAATTTATTCACCTTGTCGTAATTTCTGTAAAATCGTTTATGGACTCTTTTCAATATTGATTCTAAGTATAGTAAGTAATCGTCGCTGTCTTCGACCTCGATGTTATCGTTTTTCTCCAATTTCTTCTTCTTGACAACCGACTCCCCGTTGTCTTTGCCTTCTTCTTCCGTTTTTTCTTTCTTCTCCTTCACCCTTAGCCCTGACGCTAAGAAGTTGTCTTCGGCATTGTTCGCAGCCGGTGGGCAAGCTAGGCTCGGGTCGTGTATGTCGCCCGTGTTCTTGAAAAACAGGTATGGCTTGACTTGTATGAGGTTGGGTGAGTAGTTCCAGACGTCTTCCCTATCATCTATTATACAGACGAGCTCGTCGCCGCAAGGGAACAGTGCTCTAATACAAAAATGTACTACTTAAAAACACTAGACACTTTTTACTAATAACAGACGGAAAAAAAAAATCAACATACATACTGGAGATTGGCAAATTTCGAGTTGGAGTCAAAGCACTCGTCTCGAGAGAGGATGCGGTGGGAGAAAAGCGAGCCGTTCTCATCAAGTATCCTCGCCACGGTGTGCGCATAAGAACGGACTCCGAACGTGCATATATGAAGCTCGTACAATGGCGCCAGGCGTTTTAAGAATTTTCTTGTCCCGGGTCTTAGCCGCGTGTGGTACCAGTGGAATGAACCTGATAGCTGGAAGTGGTGAACGTCCTGGGAAAAAATAAATAAATAAAAAATACCTTGCAAAAAGAAAAAATCTCCGTACCTTTATATTGTTTGGGACGTTGTCGTGCGTTGTGTGTATAAGAGTCTGATCCAGGTCGACAAGCAGCACCAATTTCCGGTCCCTTATCAGCCTATCCGTATCTGCTTTGCCTATCAGTTGAGCTTGCTAAACAAAAAATAAATCGTATACACTATTTTTTGGATTTCTATTGACTTTAGCACAGAGCTTTTTGATTTTTTAACATTTGTAGACCCTGTTAAGCTTTGGTTCTGTCTGATAAAAGCCTATTTGTCAGCTTTATATATATATTTTTTTTTGGGGGGGGGGAGCATTGTATAGACTTGTAAATCTAAAATCAACCAAAAAATCTCATTTACAAATGAACTTTTATGGTATATCGGAATCGTTGGTATACCTCAACAATGGTACAAAAAACCCTGTTTGTTGGCTTTTTAACCACTTTGGGACAGAAGAGCTTTTTCAGCATTTGTAGACCTTGATAAAACCTTGACTCCGTCTATGAAAAAACCTTATTTGCCAGCTTTATAACTTTTTTTTTTTTTTTTTTGAGGGGGTCATTGTATAGACTTGTAAAGTTTTTACAATATCAACCAAACAATCTCATTTATTAGCTTTGACGTCTTCGGCACAAATGAACTTTTATGGTATATTGGAATCGTTGGTATACCTCAACAATGGTACAAAAAAACCTATTTATTGGTTTTATAACCACTTTGGCATTTGTAGACCTTATTTACACTTGACTCCGTCTATGAAAAAATCTTGTTTGTCAGCTTTACAATTTTTTTTTTAGGAGAGCATTGTATAGACTCGTAAAGCTTTCACAATATCAACCAAAAAAGCTCATTTATCGTCACTGACCTATTCAGACAAATGAAGTTTTACAGTACTTTACTTACACTTACAGTACCTTTTTTCCAAAGAATACTCAATTAATACAAAATATATAATTATGTGATAAAATATTTTCATTAAAAATGTAAATAAACTCCAGGGGGCATCGGTGGCCGCAACAGTTCAGGCGTTGACCCAGCGCTCATCACTGTAAAGTAAAGGTCGCCTTGCATTCAAACCCAACATACTTACAAATGGGCTTTTTTTTTTTTTTTTCTTTCAAAAACCAACACCCCGAGAGTTCAAATAACCTCATAGTTGAAATATCCTCATTAAAAAGAAAAAGTTTTAATATCTATTTTTTCATTTAATTATCTATATTTCTGTTCAAAGTTACTATGATAGTTAAAAACTGGTTTACTGCATATTATTGCATATTGCAACGTATTAATACTGTATATTTCAGGCATATTTTGGCAATTTTTACTGCATACAAATCCAGTCTCTGCGACGATACAGCATTAACAGCCATTGTGAAGGTCCATCGTTTATGCTGGAATAAGTCTCTTGTTGACATTGTTTCTGCTTGTTCCCCCCCCCCGATATTGTACCTTTTTTTTGTAATGTTTTTTGTTAAAAAAAAGTATGAAATGGAACAAACTTGTCGGCTAAGATGTAAAGTTTTTCGAGTTTAAACGTGGCATGTACTCACCTCGTGGCTGACCTTGAGCTGCGGTATGCTGTGTATCATAGGTATCGTCGCCTGCGACTCCGAGCTGCCCTCCTTCTGCAGGTCGGCCCCGCATTCGGCGCAAAGGTCGTTGATGACCGTCGGGTGACTGCAGCCTTCCGCGATCTCCAACAGTTCCTCGCTGTTGGTTAAAAAGAGAATAAGACAAGGACTTCGTAGATCGGGAATTAGACTTACCCGGGTCGGACCGTATCGCCTTCCTTGGCGAGCAGTTTTGCAACCGTGCCGACATTCTTCGATTTCATCTTGCACTGTTTCCCGCCTCCTGACTCCTCGTAGAGCATGAGGATCCTCCCATCGTAGACTATCGTCCCCTCTTCCACTTTCCACTTGGTGATCTTGACGGTATCGGCCGTGGCGAGGCGAATTGTCACTTTGTCGGGCATTTTTGACCAGGGCCGGGACCTGATGCGATTAAGCGGGATCCCGGTCCCTTAAAATAAAATAAACTAAAAAGGTGGCGAGAATGAGAAACGAAGGGGGCAACGGAAAAAAAAACAAAGCCTGTTACAAGTTAACAACCGTTCAACCTCTGCCTTATGGCGCTGACTGCCACTGGTCTGACTGCGAGTGACGTCTGAACAGTGACGTACGATAAAAAGAAAAACCGGAAATTAACTGAGCAACCACGAAATCTCAAGAAATTTATTTTCATTTAAAAAAAAAAAAAGCTTCCACTGCGAATTTCCTGCTAAAACAGAAGAAACTGGGCGAGCTAAAAGAAAATAACGAAGGTTACAGTTTAAAAGAAACAAGAAAATGGCTGTCAGATATGAAAAAAAAGGTGTGTTTTTTCAAATTCTGTAAAGCTTCAATTTGCAATGTATGTCAAAACAGAAAAAAAGAGTCTTTCTTCTAATAATAAAACTCCCTTTCATATTTTTTTTAAAATATTTCTCACCAAATAACAGTAAGGTTACGGTTTAAAAAGTTTAAAAGGGGCGATTTAACGATTACAGTTTAAGAAAAAAGAAAATGGCTGCCAGATGGGAAGAAAAAGGACTTTTTTTCAAATTTTGGAAAGCTCCAATGTGCAATCTCAGTCGAAACAGAAAAATATAGACTTTCCTCTAAAAATAAAACTTTTCCATACTTAATCCTAAAGATTTTTCTTATATTTCTCAGCACATAACAGGAAGTTACAACATAACATAAGTTACAGTTCAAAAGAAAATGGCTGCCAGATATGAAGAAAAAATGGTTTTTTTTCATATTTTTCAAATCTTCAGTGTGCAACCTCTGACGAAACAGAAAAAAAGAGACTTTCTTCTTAAAAATAAAACTTTCCCTTTCATATTTTTAAACATTTTCTCATATTTCTCACCAAATAACAGGAAGGTTACAGTTTAAAAAAAATTAAAAGCAAAAAAGAAAATGGCTGCCAGATATGAAGAAAAAAGTAGGGTTTTTTTACATATTTTTCAATTCTTCAGTGTGCAATATCTGTCAAAACAGAAAAAAAGAGACTTTCTTCTAAAAGTAAATCTTGTCCTTTCATATTTAAAAAAAATATATTTCTCACCAAATAATAGGAAGGTTGCAGTTTAAAAGAAAAAGGAAAACGAGTAATAGATGTGAAGAAAAAAGTCTTCTTTTTTTCAAAGCTTCGATGTGCAATCTCTGTCGAAAAAAGAGACTTTCTACTACAAATAAAACTTTTCCTTTCACCCTTTTAAAAGATTTTTCTTATATTTCTCACTAAATAACAGGAAGATTACAGTTTAAGAAAAAAAGAAAATGGCTGCCAGATATGAATAAAAAAGACGGTTTTTAAAATTTTGGAAAGCTTCATCAGCAATGTCTATCTAAACAGACAAAAGAGACTTACTTTTAAAAATAAAACTTTTCCATTCTTAATTGTAAAGATTTTTCTTATATTTCTCACTACATAACAGGAAGGTTACAGTTTAATAGAAAATGGCTGCCAGATATGAAGAAAAAAAATGGCTTTTTTTCATACATTTCAAATCTTTAATGTGCAATCTTTGACGAAACCGAAAAAAGAAACTTTCTTCTTAAAATAATACTTCTCCTTTCTTATTTGTAAAACTTTTTCTTATATTTCTCACCAAATAACAGGAAGGTTACAGTTTAAAAGGAAAAAAGAAAATGGCTGCCAGATATGAAGAAAAAATCTCAGTTTTTTTGCAATACATATTTATAAACTTACAATTTGCAATTCTTATCAAAATACAAGAAATCAGTTTTTTTAATTAAAATAAAAAATGTGGTCCGTTTGTTCTCGCTTGTGCCCACAGTGGCAAGTGAAAAGTTCGAAAACTCCTCGAAAGCCCTCCGACCGTTTCGTGGCCCTAGATGGCGTTGCTCGATCCCGTTTCACACCGATTATTCCCCTCTCGGGACCAGGATCGCCGACCCTCGACCGTGTAAATCCAGCAGAGATTAAAACAGCGACGTCTCGACTAACAATCGAGACCGTACGTGCCAGGGTTCGGCGGACCGTCCGACCCAAGAGGCCTTGGCCTGATAAGGACGGGGTGGTCCATCGTTGAAAATGGCCGTCGGCAGCAACAGCATCGGTTCGTCACACCTCTGACCGGAGCCCGGGGGCCGTGTGTTTTCATGTTCTGAAACCAGCTGGAAGAGGATGTCGAGCGAAAAGTGAGTACAGATTTAATTAAAAAAAAAAAAAAATTTTAAAGACCACACGAGAAAAACCGGCCTAGGAACGGGCCGGGGTCCGGTGAATCGATACTCGACCACTCCTATGTCAAGTCCTCCCGACCCTTCAACACAACAATAAACACACTGATTTTAATCAATCATCTCCTAGGTACGTTTGATGTCAAAACTGACGGCTCGGGTAACCACTGCAGCCCTGGTACAGTCAGAACCATTAGAGACGTACCACCCCCGCCGAGGGTTGCCATCCCCCATGGACTACAACCCTATCGCGCTTTAAACGCCTTAAGGACAAACAATAAAAATCCGACCTAAAACAAATAAACAACTAAAAAATATAAACAAAAATAAAAAACGATTTCATTAACCTTCATTCAACGCCCACAGATTGTTACGATAATCTTTTATGTCTACTTCACCATGTCCTCTTTGTTTCTTTTTTTTTCGTTTTCTTCTGAAAAAAAAAACTTTTTCATTTGAATATCAAGCCGGAAGTTTATGATTTTTTTTTAAACACCCAACAGACGAAAATAAAGACGAACCTGACAAAAAAACCAAAAAAAACAAAACATGTAAGATCCACTGTAAACTAGATATATTCATAAACATTTCCTGCACTAGCTCATTTTAATACGGCAGCAAACGAACAAAAAGTCAAATTACAGCGAGTCAGCTACAAATGGGATGAGCTTATTCACAACAGTACTTAAATTAAACTATCCTCACCAGTACAAGCTGCCACATCATCTTTAATGTCATACAGGATCTTCTTTCTGCAGCTTCCTACGTCCTAGACAGTCGACTAGCATCAGGATGCTATTTGACTCGTCTCATCCCTGGACAGTCGACATTATGTCTCGACTACTGTCTTCTGCTGTTTCTGAGTGCCACTGAATCCCTCGAGTTTAACGACTTTCACCAGTTTCTCAACCAGAGTAGGTGAGGAAAGGAAAAGCAAAAACTGTTGGGCCAGATCTGGGGAGTTTGTGTTAACCAGCTTCCCACATCCTCCATAGTTGTCTCTATTTGATTTTTCACATTGGCTCGTCCTTGACTGGACTGGAATGACGCTTCGAGTTAAGCACCCAACTCGTCCTACCTCGGGCTGCTATTGACAGCCTATTAGGACTCGTCTCATCCCTGAATAGTCAACAATGTCTCGACCACTACCTTCGGCTGTCTCTGTGCGCCGCTGAATCCTCGAGTTGAACAACTTTCGCTTTTTAAATCATCCCCTTTAAATCCCCCATTTATTTCCCAACCAGAGTAGGCGAGGAAAGGAAAAGCAAAAATTGTTGAGCCTGATCTTGGGAGGCGTTAACCGACTTCCCTCTTCCTCGACAGTCATCTCTATTTGACTTTTCACATTGATTTGTGGGACCGGATTGGGGTGAGACTGCTGAGCACCAACTCTAGCTGATTCAGTCCTATCCGATGATTTTGAGCCCCCCCCCCCCCCCCCGATTAACTCATCCCACATCGGGCTGCTATTTGACAGCCTATTAGACTCGTCCCTGGACAATTGATGTTATGCTGCCTTCGGCTGACTCTGTGAATTCTGCCTTCTAAATCATCCCCTTTTATAATACCGGTTTCTCCACCAGTGAAAAGCATTTTTTTTTTTCATTTTCATGCATACTCAAGGGTTATTTCAGCCCGCCAAATTAATACATATAGGTTGGGTCTGCAAGCCTTGAACCACCATTTTATCAATAGTGGAAGGTGCATATTATGCACTGAGATGCCTCCAGTAATAGGGAAAGCAAGTACTTTTTCCTTCACCCCTGGTGACTCGAATATTCCCAACAATGAGAATTGTATAAGTAATCAGGGACTAGATGAAATTACACCTCTTACTAGACTTTGTCGTATAAATTGATGAGGGAAAAGGCTTGAGTAAGCTGAGAATTGAGCATTGCAGTATTACCAAGAGCTTTAACACAACGCACGCAGCAACCTGAACACATTATTCCTTTCTCTTTTCAAGATAAACGGGAGAATATTTCAAAAATTTTCCAATTTCTGACAGGCTACGATAACTGATGGAGTTAGTGTATCAAGAGAAGATTTAGGTAGTCGGGGTGATGGCTGGTCTTCTGAAAACTCGAGTGGCCACACACACACCACTCAGTCATGGGAAGCCCTCTGGGATGAGACGAAAAACAGTAGATACACGAAGGCATTTTTCCCTAATATCCAATCAAGGCTCGACTCAGACTTCAAAATTAAACTGAAACAGGTGCTTAGCGGGCATGGGAAACGCAATATCCTTTGTTTCCGCTTAGCTGAAGGCTCGACTTGTCCCTGCAGCGCAACTATACCAATTGGAACCACCTAATATTGTCTAGTGTACTGATTCGAGACATTCAAGTGGGCATCAGCTGGCCAGTTCACATAAGTAATATCTTAAACCAACAACAGTGAAACTATTTGAAAACTTTATTAATAAAATGAACTTCAATCTATTGACAGACTAGAATAAATGAGGAAAAAATCAATGAAAAAAAACGTTTATTTGTCAATTGTAAATATACTGTAAATACTATCATCTGCAGTCTGCAATAGGAGCAGGTGTAGTAAATAAACTCCCTGTCTCGTAGGGTTACACACACAAATGTGCGTGCGCACACACACGCATGCACGCACACACACACACACTCACACTCTCACTCTCACTCTCACTCACTCACTCACTCACTCAAATTCTGCCTGGCTTCTTGGTGTTTTTTCTTACCAGTACCCTAATAAGAGGGAATTTATTTACCACATGCTCCATATGACATATTACATGTGTTTTGCAATCATTATGGTATTATTTAAGCATCATTATTTATGTACACTTCAAATATAATTATTAGCATTGCATATAGATGGCTTGAATTAACATTATATCTTCAATATTTTAAATTAATAATTATTTAGAGATGCACTTTGGTGTGATGTGGGTTTAGAAAAACATTTTCTTTATTGTGCCGTTTCGGTCCTTTATTGAGATCATCTTCAGGACATGGAATTTACAAACATTTTTTAAATTGTACAAATACATGTAAGATGAGAAAATGAATTTTGTACAATGGATGTACACACTTACAGAAATTTTATGTTTTATCAAAGCATTTGTAATCACTCAAATTGTGTGTTTTCTGTGTAGATGTGTCATTGTGCCGTGTTGAGGGTGTCAGTGAGATATAATTTTTTATTTATTTATGTTTGATTTTGATGAGTGGGGAATGAGGTAGGGATAGAAATTTATTTTTCTATGAGGAATTGGCTTCTTTAAGGTAAAATGAAAAAAGAAAAGAGGTAATGGTTTGTCATTTGGACCTGGTTAGCCTTTCAGGATTATTGTAGACGGGGATTATCAGGGAAAGGAGAGATATATTATTCATTTATTGTTTTATTAATAATTTATTTTATTTTTTAAATTTTTTAAGGGGCATCCAACAGCTTGGTCATTTCAGCCCCGAGTGAATGCAAAATATAACAATACATGAACAACACATTCATACAAATAAATATGTTCACACCAATGTACATTGCATTTATTCTATTTAGCATATGGAATACTCAATATTCCTCCATCAACCTGCAAACAATAACAAACTAATCTAATTTGGGCCGATGGGGTACTTTTTTATAAATATTCCGCCAAAGACCCAAGTCACGTACACTGCTCGAGGGGCTATGTGGATGCTATTTCACTATCAGCCCCGCCCCATTCACTCTAATAAATACCCTCACAGAAACACAAAATACATCTTGATGGCTAGATACAATTTAAAAAAATCCCAATTCTCCTAAAAAGTGGATCAAGGGACTCCATTATCATTTATTTATTTTTGTTACTATTATTATTATTATTTTTTAAGGGCGTTATAACGGCTAAGGACATTTCACGCCCTAACATTTAAATCTTCTACGTTAGCTATATCCCTTCTGAGTGCTATAAAACTCTTGACTCCAAACATTCTCATAAATTAATCTATCCTATTGCCATCCAAGGCTTTAATTTATCCTTTTAAAATTCTTCATTTGGAAGGCCAAATGTATGCAAAACCATTTTAAATTATAAAATTTCTTCCTGTTCGTTAATTAGAATTTCAAATTTTTGTTTTGAATATTGTTCCATAAATTCACTACTTTTCGTGGTCCGCTTGACCAATTAATACCTCCAATTAATTAAGGTTTTTAGTTCAGATAAAAAAATTCAGTGTCATGGGCCGGATTCAAACCCAAGTCACAATAGCTCAAGTAGTAGAGAAGTGGTGTATCAAGCCAAAGGTCATGGGTTCGAATCCTGCTCGTGACACTGACTTTTTTATCTCAACTAAAAGCCTTAATTAATTAATTGTTCCATAATTTAAACATTTCCCATAGGCTTGTATGGCCAATAATAATGGAATCAGACTAGCAAAAGTCTCGGCATGAGTATAGGCTCACCATTATCCTATTATTCTTCCAATCAAATATGATAAATAAACAATAATAAGAACTACTGCTTAACAATAATAAGAAAAACATTTTCTTTATCTTGCCAACGTTTCGATCTATGTTGAGATCATCTTCAGTGTGCCAGTCAGATATTGAATATCTCACTGGCACTCTCAACACAACAGACATGAATGACACATCTACACGGAAAATGAACACTATGAGCCCTGAAGATGATCTCAATAAGGATCGAAGCGTTGGCACAATAAAGAAAATGTTTTTCTAAAACGTCACACCAGACAACATCTCACGACCTCCAAATAATCATTTAGTAACGGTCACTAAACACCACACAATAATAAGAAACAATAACACTTCTTTATCTTAGAAATTATGAATGGTGGAGTGAGTGCGGTGTTCAATCTTTTTAAAAAGATAGTTCCTACTCCACTTACTGTCAGTAGGAACCGTCTTCTTATTCTTTATCTTTTTTTTTATATATATAATCATAGACTTTACCCTCTTATATTGGGACGTAATTCCATTTATACAATCGATTTTGTAAATTAAATTAGACTTATTTGTTAATTGTGTAGGTTCATTAATTTTGAGAGAAAAAAAGAGTGTGAATTGTTTTATAGTTTTTGAAGGCTATTTTAAAGTTATCAGAAGAAATAAATGTGTTTAATTTGTGTGATAGGCCTTAAACGAATGGATTGGGTATGTTGGTTTGTCTGTGTTTGATAGAATTGATGTAGAGTTATTAGTGATAGAGGATGGTGTTTGTGTTTAATTATTTATTTATTTACGGTTTCCTAATTACAAATGTATACAATATTTAATTTTCTAAAATTGTTTATTGCAAAATTAAATATTATATCATTAATAAGATTAATATTGAATTTGATATTTTTCGGGCCAAATAAAAACCCCAATTATGTCAATACTTCGTGCAGAAGTCATGGTCATAACTGAACCGTTTCTAATTGCTGAGCGTATAGCTCATCATTTTGAATCTGTTTCAAATTCCAACTGGTATCGAGTGCGTTTTCAGGCAGATAAAGGAGGAGGAAGAAAGACACGATTTAAATTTTGCATCTGACAAAGAAGAAGTTTGGAACGCTCCCCTCACTTTGGCTGAACTGGATCTTGTTCCGAGTTCGGTGAAAGAATCTTCTCTGGAAAGAGATGAAATCACATACTCCACGATAAAAAAATTTATCTCCATAAAGAAAAGTAAAGCTTTTGGAGTTATTTAACGAAATTTGGGTTGTGGGATATTATCCTGAAAACTGGAGGGAGCCAGTCATGATACCCATTGCTAAGCCGGGTAAAAATCCTAGCTTCCCGGAAAATTACAGATTTATTTCTCTAACATCACGTATCAGCAAGACATTGGAAGCTATAGTTGACAAAAGGTTAAATTGATTTATAGAAAAAAAAAGGTTTGTACGGTCAATATCAGGCTGGCTTTTGCTCTGAAGATAATGTAGCACTCGAAAGTGCTATTCAGAACACTTTCTTTGAGAGAGAGCATACTTCAGCTGTCTTCTTCGATCTGGAAAAAGCGTATGATACGACGTGGAGATTTGAATTCTTAAAAACTCTATGATTGGGGTTTAAGAGGGAACATAGCTAAATTTTTAAAAAGCTTCCTCGAGAAATGAAATTCCGATTGAATTAGGTACTCCTTTATCCGGTACGTTAATTCAAGAAAATGGGATTCCTCAGGGTTCGGTAATATTAATTATATTAATGATAAAATATTTAATTTTCTAATAAACAATTTGAAAATGTATTAACACTATATAATTATCAGTTATTAATTATAATCAAATTCAATATTACTGATACAATATTTAATTTTCTTTAATTAAATTTGCTTAAACTGACATTAAATATATCTACATTTTTGAACGAGTTTAACAATTTGTTGTTCATGGTATAAAACTGAATTTGGCGTAATTATTTCTATGGCAATTAATGGAGAATGTTATTGACTTCTGGAATAATAAGATGGAACATAAATGTTAATTTGGTTAAGCAGTAATGGGCAATTTATACAATCAAAGAAATCCCTTCTGTACAGAACAGTCGTCGATTTCAGATCCGACATTAACGATGAGTACGGTCTTTCTCTGCTTTCTCCAATCATTCTGTAATTTATCAGGCGTAACAATCTTTTTTGAACTGTTTCTAAGCTACTGATATGAGTGGATTAAAAGGGAGCCCAAAGCGATGAACAGTGATCTAATATTGATTTTACAGTGGAAGGGTATGCAATTTTAAGTGCATCTGGATCATGGAAATGTTTATTATGACGCACAATAAATCCTAAAGCTTTATTTGCTTTAGCAATAGTTTTATTAATGTGTGCGTGAAAGTGGAACAGATTGTTAGTAATGAAGCCAAGATCTTTAACAATTTCACGTCTGATTGTAAATCCCAGGCCATGAAGATGATCTAAATAAAGAAAATGGCACAATAAAAAAAATAATAATAATAAAAAAAAAAAAACTAATTATTAAGTTTTACTAAGGCATTTTGAAGTTCTAAGCAGTCAGAAACAGAATCAATTTTTAGGAATATTTTTAAACCATCTGTAAAAGTAATGTCATAACAAGAGGAAGAAAATGAGAGGTATTGTTTATATAGCTTTTAAACAGAAAAGGCCCTAAGAGCAGCCCCTGAGGAACTCCAGAAGTTGCTAGAAAACTACGTGACAATACCGATTTTAATTTTACTTTAAGCATTCGACCTTCTAAACAGGATACAAACCAAAGCAATAATTTATCACGCCTAATTTTTCTAATTTCTGTAATAGAATCATATGATCACATTAACAAAAGCTTTTGAAAAGTCGGTGTAAATACAGTCAACTTGTAGTCCTTAGGAAAAAAATTGTAATATATAATCTTGAAATATAAGTAATTTTGCTAATGTAGATCTTTGCAAATGAAAATGCAAAATGTTGATTATGTGTTTATGGTAGTGATTGTTATGTAGGATATGTTTGTATATTTTTATGTTATCTGGAGATCTTAGTGCAAATCTACTCTCATCTGTAAAAAGTACAGCATACCAATCCAAAGACCAATAGCTGTGTTCTTGAGCAAATGCGAGCCGTGCAACTCTGTGTGTTCCAATTTTCGTTCTCTTAACGGGGGAAAGCCATCAGTCCATACTTATTTAATCTTCTTTAAGCAATGCATTTAGCAATTTGGACACCTCGAACTCCCTGGAGCTGATGAATCGCATGAACAGGAAGGTGCTGGTTTCGCAAAATTCTCAAAGTAAAAAAAAAAGTCATCCTGAGGTTCCGTTTCCCTAGGGTGTCCAGAACTGGGCCTTCTATGGTAGGACCTATTTCTCGAAAACATCTAACAGCGTCGCACAGAGTTTCGTAGGGAACTGTGATGGCAATAGCTGCATACCTGATAGAACATCCATCATCAATAAGTGCCACACCATGCCCATCATCTTCAGCACTAAGTGGCATATTTAAGTTTAAAAATTGAAATTAAGAAAACAAATATGATACACTAAACAGTTTATTGCTTCAGAATTCAAATGAAACTGAATAAACATTTTAAATTCCGTAAAAAGTAAACATTGAAAAATCCTTTATCCTTGTTTTGGCATTAAGGATTTACTTGTGTTTACCTCTAATTGGTATTCCCAGTTTTAAACAGCATAAATAAATTTTTGTTGATAAAAACAATGAGACAAATTAAGGGCAGAATTTTCTCTTGTGTTTCAATGTATTTCCCATATTTTCTCTCTTTTTGAAAGGTTGTTAATTTTTTCTCTGAATTTTCCAGGGTGGAATGGGTCGAAATAATCGAGCCCAAGACGAAGGAGCACATGTACGCCAACCTGGCGACTGGCGAGTGCGTCTGGGATCCACCCGCCGGCGTGCCTGTGTACGTAACGAAACCCTCGACGCTAAAAGCTTTTTGAACTAATTTTTTTCCTCTTTCTACCCATTCCAAAATAGAAAAAAGACTGATAACAAACAATGGTGGGAGCTTTTCGACCACAACACAGGCCGCTTTTACTACTACAATGCGACGTCGCAGAAGACAGTATGGCACAGGCCGCAGAACTGCGACATCATACCTCTCGCCAAGCTGCAGGTACGCACCAAATCATGTCATTTTTTTACATTAGAATTAGACTGAAAACTTTTATTAAAAAAAAAAAAAGATCATTACATAAGTTTAAAAAAATCACCCCTTCAAACTACATTTCATCCTAATTTTTTTTTTTTTTTTTTCATTATTTAAGTTGTTCCATATTTTTATTTTATTGTTTTCACTTTTATTTTATTTGTTTATTTTGGTCTCCTTCCCAGTTATTTTTTGTCATCCATCATTTTTGTAACATCACAAGTTGTTTTTATAATTTATTTTAAAATATTTGCACATTGGGTTTTTTCCATTTAAAGTATGAAAAAGGTGTGCAAAATTTGGTTCGTGAAAGATAAATTAAAAAGATTTCTCAAGTTTCTACTTTTCGGACTCCTTATATTGAAGCCGTCAGCCGATCCTGCCATCTTAACAGCACGTACTCGTCTCCCCCTCACGCGGACCTCCGTGTATTAACCGCGACCCCCCCTCTTGCCGACCTAGAGATCAAAAAATACTCGCCTCTCTCTCTTTTTTTTTTCTCTCCTCTCTTCTTTCCATTTTTCTAGACCCTGAAGCAAAACACCGAACCCGTCGTCCCCGAGGATGGAAACGACGTGAGCTCGACGGCAAGCTCTAGAAAGTCGAAAGAGAGCGTCGCAACGCAAACCCCGGGACGGTCCATCCGAACCCTACCCCCTACGAACATTAAGTTGAATGTGAGTAATCCTAGCTCTTTTCATTTCGTCAGCTGTCTTTCTTTTCCTTTTATTTTAATTTATTTATTTTATTATTTATTTATATTTTATTTACATCCTTACCTGTCCTCACAATTCCCAACCCTCTCCCATTTTAAATTGTGCAAAACAACTAAAAAATTAGTTTATTATAAAATCCAAAATGTAATTCAGGTTTGTCAGGTTTTTGTTTAAAGCAAAAGACAAATGAAATTTATTGTTTAAAACAATCGTTGATTCGATCGATGTTTTAAACAAAAAAAAGGTTTGATGTTTTTATATATTTCAATTTTTGTTCTTTTATACTCTGCTTCTTTTCCATTCCTTTCGTAATTTTCTTAATTTGTTTTTGTTTTGTTTATTTTTCATTTTGTTTATGATTTGCTTTTCTTTCTTTTTTTTTATCACACTTCGATCTGTCCCCCCCGTTTACTCGACTTAGGATATATTTTGTGGGAAGGCCGGGACGAGGGCGGTCAACAGCGCCGACAAGGCGAGCGAGGAGGAGTCGGCCGGGAGCCCGAGGACGTCGCGGCCGCACCACCACCACCATCACCATCACAGGTACGAGCAGGAAAAAAAACACAAAAAGAAAAAATAACTGACTTTTTCCCTTAGACACGGCGAAGGCTGCAGGTCTGGTGACGCGTCGAGGAACAGCCGCAGGAGCAGCCAGAGCTCTTGGAGGCGCAATGCCCAATCCCAGGTTACTAAAGTAACTCCTCTTTTCATTATTTTTTCTATTATAAATAATAATTAGCCATATTTTATTATAATATATAAATAATTTATCAATTGGATGAAAAATGTAAACATCACTTAAGTTATCTCAAGGTTAGGTTATTCCAATCAACTTACTATATGATAAATTTACAATTTACAAAGCTTTCAAGCTTAAAAAAACAAAAATGTAACTTCATAGTACAATTTACAAGAATATAAATAATGATATTTTTGGTAATTTCTCTTTGTTATACTTGACCAAGGCTTAAAAATGTAATGAAATCGTTATAACATAGTTAAATGTGTCATATTATCATATATAACCCGGATGCATTTATACTAAAATCTCCCCTACTAATAGACAAAATCGGTTGAAAATTTGGCAAAATTTGGTCAAATTCGGTTGTAAAGAAAGGAATCAGAGCAAGATTAGAGCCTTAAATGGGAATCATTCTGTTGGAAAGCTTATTTCGGTCGCATAATCTCACCAATGAATGGATCAAATTTGTTAAAAATTGTAAGAATTTTTTCCCATTTCTATCTGGATGTTCGGTCAAAATTTTGTCAAATTTGGTCTGACAGATTACTTATTCAGGGCCTTATACTTAGCTACGTACAATTTTATTAATGTTAGTGTTAACGTTTATTGTTTAATTTATTTCATTAAGAAGGAAAAAAACTATTAATTAGATTTAACTTGACAACAGGTTAATGCATAATTTGTGTTCAGGATTCGGGGAGGTCTTCAGATTCGAGTAGCGTATCATGCCGCCATCAGGATAACAACACCATGAACACGACGCCTTCGACGACGACAACACCTGGCGGCACTGTGTCCATCATTCCCGGTGTCACCAAACCGTCACTCGCTCCATCGCCGTCGACCCCTCTGTTGAAAAAGCGGTCACCTGGTTCGAGCACGAAAGCCAATAGCTTCGACACGAATATAAGTAAGTCATAGAAGTGGTATCAATCAACTAATTATTAATTTTTTTTTGTATTACAGGCATAGGTGGCGGTTACAGCCTCGGGCAGGAGAACAGATCGACGAGCCGGCCGCAGAGAATTCTGACCGGGAGCTCGTCGAACCACGGAATATCGAGGTCGCAGTCCTTCGCCCAGAAGCAGAGCACGGCTGTACCCGCCGAGGAGGAAGAGGACTCGATGCACGAGAAGTATTTCATGTCCGGAAGGCGCTCCGTCGACAGCCCTGTAAGTTTTAACAAAAGCCCCCCCCCCCAAAAAAAAAAAAAAATCTTAATCTTATTTTCTCTCGCAGATGGATAAAGAAAGCTCAGCCCTGAAGAATCTCTCTGTGTCGAAGCTCAGCCCTGAATACTCAAATTTTATTCCACCGCCTTTGAAATTGCCTTCAGATAAAATTTCATTGAGGTCAGTAAAATATAATAACCTCCTGTAAAGACGACTTTTCTATTAATTTGACCATAATTAATAAATAAAGAATTATAATTATTAAATATAATAAATAACCGATTTGGATATTTTAATATTAGACTCTTCATAACAATCAAACTTTTTATATCTTTTTCTATATGTAGTTGTAAGAGTAGTCCATCTCTATGTATGTATATCATTTCTTTGATTATCCTTCTGCCGTTATATTTGTCACAATACACAGTTTTTACATTATCCCTGTTGAAACTGCCGCCGATTTTGTTTATATCTGAGATTTAGTCGGTTGGCGAATTAATGAGTCAGTGTCTAAAAGAAGAACTGTGAATGAATAATGGTGGTAGTGGGCGAGGTCGATTGAGTGAATGTGCGTAGGACAGATACCAACATATGTGGTTTTTTATTTAAAAAAAAAAAAAAATTAAAAGTTTGTTTTTAATTGTTTCCTTGTTTCGTTTTAGAGATGTGAACAGCGATGTAGAAGAGACGAACGGCGCTTGGGGCGTGAGCAGTTTCAAAAAGAGTGAAAGCAACTCTGACCAGGGTTCGACGCTCGACTCGAAACGTCTCAACCTTGCCCAGCTCGGCCAAGGTGTCGAAAACATCGATCGTAACAAGTCGATCGAGGAGTGGCGCAGCAACGTCCCACTCGAGCCGCACATACTCCCGCTCCACCATTACATACTCGAGCAGGCCAAGATGTCAGGTCGGTGTTCAATTGGCCCAATCAACGCCAATTAAATTCAATTCACGCCCGACCTCGGCCCTCTGGGAATTATAGACAGGAGGAGAGGGGGTGTAAACGATTTAACCGATTAATCTCTTAAATTTTTTTATCTACTCTTGACTTTACAAGATTAAAATAAAAAGTCCAAAGAGAATATTAAAAAGGATAAAACTGTTTTTAAAAAAATCTTTAAAGGATAATTTATAAAACTCAGTTTATATAAAACCAAGGATGTCAATTGACAATCAATATATTTTCTTTATATTTTTTATTATAAACATTTTATTAATAATTATTCAAGTTTTATTAGACTGTTTAGGTATAAAATAAATAAAATCCTAATCTGAATTTATCAATTTAATAAATTACTAATTTAAATTTTATTTTGATACAGGATGCTACAGGTTCGGAGAGTTGCCTGAGGAGGATGGTGATGAGGACTCATCAGTCGAAGAGGATGATGATGGCCTACCGCGTGGAAGGGACTATGACTCGGATGAGTTTGCGGACGATGAGGCTGTGCTGAGCAACCAGGACGATTCGTCATCGCGTGAGTTCATACCGGATGACAACCCGCCGTTGACGCCGCCTTGCCTCCAGCCGCCCGGATACCAGCAGGGCAACCACACGTATATGAACGCCGGGCTCGGCGGTTACATCCAGCCGCCGCACTACTCAGGTAAAAGCCCGTGTTTTATCAAGCAGAGGTAATTTTGCAAACTCATTTTACAGATGCAGCCGACTACGCTGAAACGCCTTCGATCATAGATCACAATTCAAGCCTTTATTGCAACACTAGGGTCTCCCAGCATACTGTACGACCGATAACTTCTGGGAGTGAAAGAGGTGAGCCTTTTTTTCCCCCCCACTTTAAAATCACAAATTTATTCAACATGTTAAGAGTTTCTGAATGATCTGAGGGAGGTGCATGTGTGAGTGTCAGTGAGCAAATGATTAAGTACTTTCAAAGGAGGGGGGATGAGAAAGTTTGTAAATGATGAGTGAAAAGAGCTTTTGTGAATGAATGACTGACTGAGATAGAATGAATAACAGCTCACCAACTGAGTGTACGAGTGATGCCCCCTTATTGACAGAGAAAACGAGTGAGTATTCACCAACCAAGAGTTAATGAATGACCCAACTGAGAAAGATCAACTCCTATAAATGATTGAATGAGTGAATTCTCACCAATTGAAGGTGAATGAGTGACTGACTGTCCCTCCAACTTAGTGAGCTTGTCTAGTGAATAATTGACTGCCCTCTTAAGTTATAGTGAATGAGTGACTTATCATCAACTAAGAGTGGGCGAGTGAAACTCCATCCCAACTGAGGGTGAACAAGTGGAGCCCCCCCCAAAAAAAGAATGGATGAATGACTGCCCCCTTAACTGGTGGTGAACAACTGACTGGACGAGTGAAACCCCCTCTCACCTGAGAGTGAATGAGCCTGCTCCCTGAACTGATAATGAAGGAGTGATTGTTCACCAAATATGAATGAATGAATGATATTCTCCAAATGAGAGTGAACAAGTGAAGGCCCCCCTTAATAAGAACAAATGATTGACTGCCCCCTTAACTAATGGTGAACAATTGACTGCCCTCTGAACTGATGGGGAACGAGTGGGAACCCCCCAACTGAGAGCGAATGAATGACTGCCTCCTTAACTTATAGTGAATGAGTGACTGCTCATCAACTAAGAGTGGACGAGTGAAACCCCCTCCCAACTGAGGGTGAACAAGTGGAGCCCCCCCCCCAAAAAAAAAAGAATGGATGAATGACTGCCCCTTTAACTGATGGTGAACAACTGATTGCCCTCTTAACTGATAGTGAAAGAGTGACTGCTCATCAACTAAGTCTGGACGAGTGAAACCCCCTCTCAACTGAGAGTGAATGAGCCGCTCCCGTAACTGATAATGAAGGAGTGATTGTTCACCAAATATGAATGAACGAATGATATTCCCCAAATGAGAGTGAACAAGTGAAGCCCCCCCTTAATAAGAACGAATGATTGACTGCCCCCTTAACTGATGGTGAACAATTGACTGCCCCTTTAACTGATGGTGAACAACTGACTGCCCCTTTAACTGATGGTGAACAACTGACTGCCCTCTTAACTGATAGTGAAAGAGTGACTGCTCATCAACTAAGACTGGACGAGTGAAACCCCCTCTCAACTGAGAGTGAATGAGTGAGTGTTCACCAACTAAGAGTGAACGTGTGATCTTCCTCTATTGAGAGTAATATAAGTAAATCACTGTTTGAAAAGGCATGTACCGAAAGAGGTGAGCCATTGTTTTACTGCACAATCACAATTGGTATTAACACGGCGTTATTTTTTTTTTTTAAATCCAGTTCCCACCGTACCGCTCGAGACGCAACACACTTCCCTGAAAAGGATGAAAGAGCCGTCACCTCCCCAACAGCCCCTCTACTCACCGATCCTTGAAAGATCTGAGGTCAGTACGATCGCGGTTATTTCTTTTAACCAGCATCTTAACAGAGAATGCCTAATTCCTTAGTATTTATAGTTTTAAGATTTAGATGATTATATATATTGAAAACCTTTTTGAAGACAATTAAGAAAAGAAAAATACTTATATAACTCACTTCCTTGACAGAGTGAGTGGTTTAGTGAATTTCTTTTCTTTCAACTGGTCCTCTTCTAGATTTTTTCAACACACAAAATCAATTTTTATTATTGTTTTTATATCTATTTTACTTTATTGCATGAGTACTTTATATTTAAAACAGAAATTTTTTTAAACATATTATTTTATTATTTATATGAATGCACCGCTTTTCTTTGGTTGGTTTTTGACGTAGTTTCCTTTCTTTTTGTTTGTTTTATAGTATTTTTATTTTTATTATTTTCCAAAGTCGGCCGACGGTCGAATTACATCGGCCCAGTCTTTACCAAGTAGCCCCTCCCCGATGTCGGCGACGTTGCAGTACGAACAGGTATGGTTTCGTTAAAAAAAATTAAAAAATGCTAAAGAGATAATTTTATCTTGTTTTCCCTTCTCCTGAGGCAAAGTCATCTTGTCATTGATGATTTTTATTTCATTTTTTTTTACAGTTGTCGCGGTTAGTCTTAAACAGGGAGAGGAAGCTTCCAAGTGATAGTGATATAGAAAAATATGCTCAAGATAATTTAAATATACATAAAAAAGGTATATTCAGGAAAAAGTTCTCTGTGAGGGAGTTGCTGTCATGGTCAAAGGTGATTTTTTTTTTTTTTTAATTTTATGTTTTTAAATATTTTTAGTAACTTTTGAAATAATTATTTGTAAAAAAAAAAGGATCCGATACGGAAGCCGATGCTTGTCCTCTCGGATAAAAACCTCAAGAAGGAAGCAACCGAGGTGTTCAAGATGGTCCAGATGTACATGGGCGACCGCAAGGCAAAGCAGGGCGCCACGCAAGAGTCGGTCCTACTTGAGGTGTGCAACCTGGCTCACCAGAAGGCGGCGCTGCGGGACGAGCTGTACATACAGATTTGCCGGCAGACGACCGAGAACCCGAGGAAGTAAGAATCACATGACTAATCACTTGCTGTACGATGGTCGTTCATATTTCCAACTTTTTTTTTCAGAGACAGCCTACGGAAAGGATGGGAACTGATGGCGATCTGCCTCTACTTCTTTCCTCCTTCGCCGAAATTCCAGTCTTACCTTGAAGGTTACATGAACAAGTGAGTGCGTCTTGTTTATTAATTAATTTTTGATTGATTGATGGATGAAGGTCGAGAATGTACGAATGAACGAATGTACAAGAAGACTAGAGGAAGAAAAGAATCCAAACAATTTTCAATATATTGGAAAATATATATTCTGTTACATAATTTTTTATTTTTATTTAAATGTTATTTCATTCTTGGTCAGGCTGTGGCGTTGTATTTTCGTATTTTTCATCTGAAAGTTACAACAAATAAAAATTGGCTAAATTGTAAATGAAAAGTTTTAGAATAATTACTGACCTTCTTTGATGCACTCTTTCAAGGAAGATTCTTCATCTTCCTGAGCTTGCCGATAAAGGTCTGTGATGGACCGGCACATTTCGCAGTTGATCTCTGCCTCGCGCTCCTTGAGCCGTTTGAAAATGCCGAACCGTTTTAAGGCGGCTTCGACCGATTCGCGGCGCTGCTTCACCTGTTCGCGAGCCTGCCCGAGGCAATCGTCCTTCTTCGAAAGCGCAATGCAGGGCATAGTGAGGTTGAACGACGCCACGACTTGCCTGTTTACAAGGCCTTTGAGCAAGGCTGCCTTGTCGAGCAGGGCGGTCGTTATCTTTCCGATGAGCGAACCGCATCGCATCACGCTTTCAAACGACTGGTTGCGTATCATTTCGACGTTCTTCTGCTTCGACAGGCACCTCCTCGAGTTCCCGTTCGGCCTTGACGAGAACCACTTGTATATTTCGCCCTTCCTTGACTGCAAATGGTCCGACACGGGCTTGGGTACGGGAATGCTGTTTTTCAAATTCTCAGCCATCATTTGGACCTCCAGCTCGGTCCCGGCCACCTCGTCGTTAAGGCCGTTCATCTCCTGGCGTATCTCCATCGTGCTCAAATCATAATCTTCCGAGCACAAAACCTTGCATAGAAACAATGAAATATTTTAATCATAAATTATGAACCTCACTAACCATCGAGTAGCCTAATGATTTTTAAGGAAAATAACCTCATTATCTAAGGTTTCTCAAATTTTAACCATATTCTCATCGCTCAACCCATCGAGTAGCCTAACACATTTTCCCTTAAATAAAAAAAATAATTTTTTTTTTTTTTTAAATAAAATTAAATTAAAATATAAATTGGAAAATGGCAAAAGGAGGGAAAACTCATAAGGTGGGGTTGAGATAGGAAGTTGGTGTCCGAGTGGATCGAGGTCACGATAGCTCAGGTGGTAGAGCAGCGGCATATCTAGCCGAAGGTCGTGGGTTCCAATCCCTCTCGTGCCATTAATTTTTTTTCATCTCAACTAAAAACCTTAATTAAAATATACTTCTAACTAATAAGGAAAGTAGTGTAGAACGTATATAGAAGTAACTTTTTACTATTGGCCTTAGGGTAAAGTAACCTTAAAGCTTTCAAAGAAAATTAATTAACTCTTCTAGAAATAACCTCTAGCTTCTGTACAAAGTAACCTTACAGTTTTCAAAGAAACAACCTTTTAAGAAATAACTAATAGTTAATTGACTACTTCAAAGCTAAGCTCCTTCAATGTAAACTAACCTTGGTTGTGACTACAGTTTTCAAAGAAAATGACCTTTTTAAAAGTAACCTTAGTTAAATAACCTTCATTAGCTTGTGTACAAAGTAACTTTAAATAACCTTTATTAGCTTGTGTACAAAGTACCCTTTAATAACATTTATTGGCTTGTGTACAAAGTAACCTTAAAATAACATTTATTGGCTTGTGTACAAAGTAACCTTAAATAATCTTTATTAGCTTATGCACAAAGTAACCTTACAATTTTCAAGGAAAATAATTCAACCCTCCTAGAAATAATTATTATTTGCAACTACTAGACTGTATAAAAGTAACCATATTGTTTAAACTAACCTCATTTGAGTAACTTATTATCTTATAATCATTTTGTAACTACATTCTAGTTTAACTTCTTACCTGGTGTAATACCAGAAATAGCGAGAAACAGACAAATTTATGAGTCATTTTTGGGTGGTACAGAGTGTTATGGTTGGGAAATTGTGGCGTCAGGTCTTTTTTATACGGAAATATATTTCACAACGAGGTCGATGGAATTTAAATGAGTATGCGCTCTCACAGTCTCAGTAATATTGGGTTAATCAGATTTGTTTCTTGCTCAATGTTGAATTTTTAATTAATTTTTATTTTGTAATTCTTTATTTTTAGACATAGGGACAATTCTTATGACAAATTTCCGGAGGTCGGTAAATGGCCTATCCACGTTCAGGTGAGCCATTATGCGAGCGTAGCGTGCAAGAGGCTCGAGCGGATCGGGTCGAACGGGAAAAGGCCGGTTCGAAAGCCGACGCTCGAGGAGATCGAACAGGCTCGGGTGCAGATCTTCAGGCCGAGCATGTTCGGCTCGACGCTGGAAGAAGTGATGGAACTGCAGAAGGGTCGTTTCCCGCATTACAAGCTGCCCTGGGTCCAGACGACGCTTTCCGACGAGGTGCTCAGGCTCCAGGGGACACACACAGAAGGTATATTCCGAGTCTCGGCCGACATGGATGAGGTGACCAGCCTCAAACAGCAGCTTGACAAATGGGAAAGGCCAACTGAGTACACCGATGCGCACACGCCAGCCAGCCTTCTAAAACTCTGGTACGTCAGTGCATATCTAATAAAGTCATAAACCAAAATTAACGATGAATCTTTTATTAAAGGTATCGAGAGCTTTACGAACCTCTCATACCCGACAACCTGTACGAGGACTGCATATCGTGCCACGATGATGCCGAACAAGCTGCAGCCATCGTTGAAAACTTACCACACCTCAACAAAATGGTCCTGGCATACCTAATACGCTTCCTACAGGTAAAGTATTGACCTAGTAATTAATCTTTTATTTTAATCCTTAAATATATTGGCTAATATATTAACAGGATGGCAAATCTATGATTATCCAGTATTGTAATCGTGATTCGTAAATGTAAAATTTGTTTTTTGTTTTTAGATTTTCGCCAGGCCTGAAGTGGTTGCCGTCACGAAAATGGACGCGAGCAACCTCGCCATGGTGATGGCGCCCAACTGTCTAAGGTAGACCTGGTTTCTTCTAGTCATTTCTGATGGGTTTTTTATTCAAACTGATTTTTTTTTTTTTTTCTTCTTTCACCAGGTGCTATTGTCAAGAGCCGAGGGTGATGTACGAGAACGCCCGCAAGGAAATGGCGTTCATACGTACGCTCATACTCAACATGGACACGGCGTTCATGACTGGTATACTGTAGTCGGCGGTGGCGTGGACGAGACCGTATTTATGCTTGTTCATTTTTTCCTCTTCATCTTTTTTCCTTTTTTTTCGGTAAAAGAAAAAAAAATTGAGAAAAAACTTTTTTCAAAGAGGAAGATATTAAAATAACAAAAACAAAAAACTTACCAATTCTAGTACATACCAAAGCATAGGTTGTAAGGCTCGATTTTTATTATTATTTATAAGACAAGAGTTTTCATCTTAAAAGCGTTTAAGAAAAAAAGTAATAATAAAATAAATATATTAAAAAAAAGTATAAATGGATTTTTAACAGTGAAAAAAATATAGTCGTATAAGAAGTTAAGAAAGTTTATAAACTACAAGAAAAAGTCAACAATGATCAAAATTAATAAATTAATTGATTAAATTTATTAGGCTTTGTGACATTAACAGAGAGAACAAAAAAAATCAAGTTTGTTTCATATTTAAACCATAAGTACGTTGCTTGTAAATATTGATTTTTGTTTTAGCCTCGTTTTGGATTTTTTCTTTTTTTTAATATTTAAGAAGTAAGCGCAGAACCAAGCTTTATGTTTTATAATAAAAAATTAATTATTATTAAAAGACTAAAACTCAATTTCTTCGTTTTTTACCTGTAAATATTGTTTAAAAAAAATTAATTTAACAAAAAAAAAATTACTGTACATTTTAAGTCGCTTGGTTTATAGCTTATGTGTGTTAGTAAGACAGAAAACAGAAAAAGAAAAAAAATTATTGTTTTCGCTCAGCACGTTCCTTTGTTTTTTCGTTGCCCTCGTCCCCATCCCCATCATGGCCGAGTATTAATTTATGAGAGAGCGTATGTAGGCAGAGCGGGTCCTTAGCCACTTTATTTTATTAGCCACTTTTTTTTTTTTTTTTTTTTTTTTTCGCCGCCCCATCCTCATAGCTAGTCTATCGGCAGTAATCAATTAGCACAAAAGAGCAGACGGAAAAAAAAAATTAAAATAAAACAAATGAATTCTTCAATTGTGCCAAACCACATCCTTTGTCCTTCCTTGTCTCCTGTATTTATTTATTTATTTTTTTAAAAAATCAACCCCCGCCTCGCTCTATTTAATCTAGTTTAATTGATTTTTTTCTCTTAGCGAGTTACCAAAAATAATAATTAATAATTTAAAAAAAAAAAAAACAAGAACAAATTTACCTATTTATAATAATTTTTGTGTTGTTTTTGCACGCTGAAAAAAATTGTTGTTTTATTTTTCCCTCTCTCTCTCTCTCTCCCTCCCATTCTCTCTTTCTCTCATTTGTATCTGATAAAAATATATTATTAAGTTTTTACATTTGGTATTATTATATAATATAATCAATAAACAAACAAAAAAAGTGTTTTACAAAATTTTGTTGTGTCTCTTGTATTCCCCCCCTCCCCAAACATTCGAACGCTCATGGTCGATGAACTCATCATATTCAAAAGAGGCGCATCTTGTTCAAACAAATAATAATGCAATGGTAAAACATTTACCTTGTTGAGCCTCTAATCGAGCATTTAGTAGATAAAGCATTAATATGTTATGAACTTATGGCAAAAAAAAAAAATGTATACTACCAACAACATTGATAAAGTGTTAGTTAATATAATGGACGATGTGTGTTGTTTAGTGACCGTTAGTCAATGATTATTCGGAGATCGTGAGATGTTCTGGTGTGAAGTAGGTATTAGAAAAGCATTTTCTTTATCATGCCAACGTTTCGATCTTTATTGAGATCATCTTCAGGGCCTGGGATTTATAAACATTGTTTAAATTATACAAAATTACAAATTACACACTTCCTACATGTTTTTGTATAATTTAAACAATGTTTATAAATCCCAGGCCCTGAAGATGATCTCAATAAAGATCGAAACGTAGGCACGATAAAGAAAACGTTTTTCTAAAACCTACGTCACACCAGACAGCATCACACGATCTCCGAATAATAATGGACAATCTCGTCACATACGGATCGCTAAAATTCATTAGCCCAATACATCCATAGACCACTAATACTGTATTTATCCACAATTCAAATCTATCCTTAATCCAGTGTTACTCTTCACCAACTAATCCAGTGTCCAGGTGGATCACTAATCCAGACTGCTAATCTTTAAGATGTTTCATAATCTTATGTACAGATAATTCACTAATCCGGTAGTTCATGGGATCGCTAATCCACCATTCAGATCTACCCTTAATCCAGCCATTTATCTTTATCACTAATCCACTATCCAATGGATCTAATAATAAAATTTACCCTTAATCCAGCATTGATCTTTATTGCTGATTCAACAACCAGATAAATCCTTAATCCTGACCTCTAATCCAGTATTCGGATATATCTTTAAACTCATAATTATCTTTCACTAATCCAGATTGACCGCTAATCTTTAAGGATGTTTCCTAATCTTAAAATATGTAAGAATCATTCACTAATCAAGAAGTTAGATCACTAATCCAATGTTCAGATAGTATCTTAATCTATATCACTAATCCAGTGTCCAATTGGATCCCTAATATATCCTTAATCCGTTATTACCCTTAATCAATGGTCCATGTCGACAGCTAATCCACTAGTCAAAATTATCCTTAATCTAATATTTTTTATCACTAATCCAGGTCCAACCATTAATCCACTATTCAGAGCGGTCATTAATCCAAATTTATTTTGTAAAGCTAACTCAGTGTCGCGGTAGATTTAGCATCCTTTTGCAGTGCTCTTTTGCGTGACCGTAGCGTAAGCCTTTTTTTGAGGGTCGTGTTTTTGAAAAAAAAGCCCATTTGTAAGTATGTCGGGTTCGAATGCAGGGCCGCTGGATTCGAACCCGGGACCTTCACCTTACAGTGAGCGCCGTGTCAACGCCTAAGACGTTGCGGCCACCGACGCCCCCCGTGTAAGCATTTAAAACATAAGACCACGTTTTTTAATAAACGGTTCAACCTTGCATTTTACATAATGTATAGTAACGGATTCGGGTAGAATTTGACCCCCTAAATGATACTAAAACCGTACCAGTGTTTACTAAATTGCCAGCTTCCATGGCGGTTTTTGTCTGTCTAATTTACGTTTAAATCTTTTAACTCGTAAAACTTTTGCATTTTGATTATCTGTTTTTATTGTGTGCAAAAGTTCCGCCTCGCTGAAATCAGTATCTACTCCTCTGCCCTCTCTAACGGTCAGAAATGAGGGAATATACGCCCAATTTTTTTTTTAAATTTTAATATTCAGACTTAACTAGCAGGTTTGGAGCCTAGTATGTCTTTAGAATGACTCTGATTCTGTTCCGACCCGATTTATCTATGGCGATCACTTCCTGTCGAATTTTTGGGTGGTTCTCGTAGATTAATTTTTCGAGTGTCATAGCATGCAATCCTGATCCACCCAGGGAGTCGTAGCCCACTTAATGTGTAGCAATGTGGTTAAGGCTCGGGGCCCAAGAAAGGTGTACCTCGTATTCTCATCCCCCTCTCTCACTCCAGGTTCCTTCATTGTTCCCTATGACCCCTCCCAACTCTTGACTACAAGAGGGGTGTCCGGGCGTAAAATAATGGTGTAGCCCTGAGGGAGTGGCACCCTCTCTAAAGCACAACCTGTACTCGGGTCGGCATGAGGCGGCGGGTGCCTTATCAGAGGCACACGAAGGTTAGGGTACCAGATCCTGTCTGCATAGTCGAGGGAGGGTGCATAACCGCATAACCATCTGTCCTACGGGGTTGTCCCATAGGGTTATTTCCCTATGGGCCTAGACAAGTCCTACCATCAGTTCAGGCGTCTAGGGGTAACCGATGATGGAGGCAAATCCCTTACCTTCCTGTACCTTTCCTTATTCCTACCAACTCCCCCCTCCTCTTTGGTGGAGGCTTCTGGGTTACTGAATCTTCACCCCTCTGGTAACGGGTGAAAACAGTAGGGGGCAACCCCCGGGTGGGCGATCAGTCTCACCTTAAAAACAATACTGAACCACGGGAGGGGGTAATTCCAAGTAGCCCCAATTGAGGTTAGACTCGTGGTGATCGTGGTTTAACAGCAACTCGTACCACCTTAGCTGAAGGGTATCGGCCAACCGGAGCCGGAGGTAGAGCGTACCCTTATCTACCTCTCCGGCGGGTGGCTGAAGGTAGAAATACTGGAAGCCACCAAAAAAGTCCGGTGAGCCTAGCAATAGGCAGGGACGGACGTTAAATAAACCCTAAGTCCGAAGGGACAAAGGGAAAGGAAGGGAAACTATGTCCTACGGGGTCCAGGTGAACTGCAGCCTTGGGTGTTAGGCAGCACCCTAAACCAGTAGACAGTTCAGCGAGTCTCTATTTGGGGGTTTGCTACAGTTAACTGTCGGGTGTGAGATCAGTTACACTTCACAGACAGCAGTATGCGAGTCCTATATGCGAGAATTACTGAACTACGGGCGCAAGCAGGTCTCAAGCCAATGCTTGCAAGTGGGTTTGGATTCGTAGTGGTGCGTGGTGAGACTCCTTGAGAGTAGCCCAGAGGTAAATATTTCTGGACGGTGGTTAGTATTCCACTTAAATAAAAAGCTGGTGCCGACCCGTCTGTCAGAAGTAGCTACGTTAGAGGTGCGCCTCCACTCGGGGTTTCGATAGAGTTGCCTTCTCTATCAAGCGGGAGTAGCTTCGGCTGCGACGCTGGACGGGTGGTCTGCCGACCCAGCCCTGCAGAAGGGCCAAGCGGGGAAGAGCCTTTTTCAAGGCTCTACGTGAAAATCTACGGTATTGAACACCCCACCGTAGATGGAAGCGTGTCGCCTCCCTTCTTGAGAAACGATCCTGTGCTTGCACGGGGGACCGATATGGCCCTAGGGCTAGGCGCGGTCTTAAAAGATCCTCATGTCCTTCTCTGGACCTTGAGCAAGGTTGGGAACGAATGTACTACGGGGTAACAGAAATGTTCCAAGGTTCAGCCCCTATTACAATGGGAATGGACTCGTAGTTGGCCGTGGTGAGACCCCTGGCGGGTACTTAGAGAAGAGGCTGTTTTCTACCAGTGACCTTCGCACGAAACTTGCGCATGGCCATCATTATACACCCAGCCTCACGGGATACGGCGGATCGGGCGGCAGCGTATAAGCGTTGAGGACGCTATGATTACGTTGAAAATGCGTGAGTAGTGGCGGATGGGAATGGGTAGTGAATCGGTTGCTCCTATTCGAGTATGCTTTACACGTAGGTGTAGCTGAGCTCGATTGGAGGCTTGGTGGTTAGCAATTCCATTTTAAACAAAACCGCGGCCGGAGTTGATCCGGTAGTTTCTACGCTGGGGAAGCTCCAATACTCTGGGAGTACTTCGGCTTAGGTAGCCCTTTGCGCGCGGCATACGATACGATGCTTAATGCGGACCCGACCACTCGGAATAGGCAAGCGGGGAGCGAGGTTATCTTGGCCCCTCGGGGCTAAGCTGCCTCTACACCAACGCTGCAGCAGTAACATCCTTCTGTCGTACGCGGAGGTGCGTCAGCTCTCATCTTGAGAATCAAAAGGTCCGATAAGGCCGAATAGGCTAGATGCGGACGTTAGAGATCCTCATTGTCCTTTTTAGGATGACCGAGTATACGGGAAAGCATACAATCCTGATAATCCTTGGTCGTTAATTTGTTCTACCTCCAAATAAACGTGATAAGGACCCGTAAAAGACGAAAAAAGATTTTCTTGTTTGACAGAATTTTCAATATTCAAACTTAGTGCATTCTTATCGTGGCCCGATTCAGAAAAATCTGACCTAAGGGTGGGACTAACACGGTCTTCCATTCTGTCTGGACTATCGAATCCTAGCCCCGAAGAGACTGGATTCTTGCCCCCGCTCGAGGCGGACATTCCTTCTGGAGAAGCTGTTTTGCTTATTCAGGAAGACGAGGATCTTTTCACTTGTGTTCTTTATAATGTCAGAATTTGAGGATCCCATCACTGTCTGCGGTTGTGGGAAGTCTTTTTCCTACTGTCTCTGTAATGCTGCCCACCCTTTTTTGTATATTAGCCCAATAAAAGAAGGCTTCTTGTACCTTCAACGTTCAACCTGTTCCGTCTCCCTTAATAGTTACTCCTGGATGGCATCTTCGTGCTCAACCACCAGTAAGACTTGGGGATATTCTACAAGGAGAAAGGTTGACTTAGTGTCCATTGCCCAGGGGATTCCCCCGAATCTTTAGGTCTTCTTTTTATCCATCTACACATTAGTCATTTCGCAATAGTCCTCATAACACACCAGCCTCCTTCCTCTCCCCTGCCAGTTGTTTCTGGAGTTACTCAAGCCTCCAGTTTATCTGCCTCCCTCTTTTGATATTTTAATGATTTTAATGATATGCGCTTGTCTTTCAAATCTACCTCTCCTTTGCACCTGACGACATTTAAATTTCAAAAACAAGAAGACCTAAATGCCATCATCTTGTGTGCTGGAAAATCGATTCCATAGACAACCTCGCTCCCCGCTTGCCCATTCCGAGTGGTCGGGTCCGCATTAAGCACCGTATGCCGCGCGCAAAGGGCTACCTAAGGCGACGGACTAGCAGTTGTACGAAAGGATGTAGAAAACATCAGTCATGGAGGGAGTGTGGGTAGAAGAGCTCACATATCTTAGGCCAAACAGTCATAATCGAAATGAGGAAGCACAAGAGAGAAGACCGGGAGTTTGGGAAGAGTCGGCTTGCACGATGGAATTGGCGGAGGATGGAGAAACAGTGGTGATTTGAGCCAGGATTTCCAGGGTAGGGTTTGATCATGGATGATCCCAAGGTTTTTGACAGATGGATAAGAGGAAATCGGTTGGTTGTTAATGTAGAGTGGAGGAATAAGAGGTAAGGATTGGATCCAAACATTTTAGCCTGGGACTCTATGATATTATTACTTATTTCATTAAAATTAAAATACAATTTTAATCTTATCACCCGATTTAAGATTTTGAGATCATGCATTTAAAGAAATTTTTACATGTATTCGAGCACGGAGAGCACTGTGACCGAGGCTATAGACCCCCTGATGAAGCAGACCCCTCTCGGAATCCAATTGCCTCACCTCTTGAGATTACACTGACGAAGACAATCCCTGCAAAGTGCATAGCCTCCCACGAGTGGACTTTGACCATCTGCGCCACAACTGTCATTTTCTAACTACTCTGACATGTCCTTACTTATCTTTCACGTATCCTCTATACAGTGCGATGACTAAATCCTGCCATAGGAAGATCCACTAATCCCGAAGTGTTGCTGAAAGAGAGAAAAAGGAATGCGATTGGTGTATCTTGTTTTAATTTTGAAAGGCTTATCGATATAAATGGATAAAAGTTGTATTAAAAGGCGCGTGGGATTTAGGCAAGATTTTCACTTATATTAATAAATTTATACAAGTATAAATAAATACAAGTGTTCATGTTTTAAAAAATAAATAAGTAATTGGTTGCGACGGAACGGCCAGGTGAACTGAAGACTCTGTAAAATAGAAAGGAAAAGAGATGTAATTTTGTTTGATGTCGATGTGTGTCGGTTGTTTTTACCTTAGAAACACTTCCTATGTACGATGGAAGGTCCAGACTCGTCGTATTCCTGTTTCGAGATCCACATTTGCTGGAATGTGGAGAGTGAGGCTAAGATGGAACCACCGATCCAGACGGAGTATTTCCTTTCTGGAGGAGCGATGATCTTGATCTTCATCGTGGCCGGGGCCAGAGCGGTGATCTCTTTCTGCATCCTGTCCGCGATACCCGGGTACATGGTCGTCCCGCCGGAGAGGACAGTGTTCGCGTACAGGTCCTTCCTGATGTCGACGTCGCACTTCATTATCGAGTTGTACGTCGTTTCGTGTATCCCCGATGACTCCATGCCCAGGAAGGAAGGCTGGAAGAGGGCTTCCGGACACCTGAACCTCTCGTTACCGATGGTGATGACCTGGCCGTCGGGCAGCTCGTAGCTCTTCTCGAGCGAGGAGGAGGCCGCCGCCGTGGCCATCTCCTGTTCGAAGTCGAGTGCCATGTAGCAGAGCTTTTCCTTGATGTCCCGGACTATCTCACGCTCGGCCGTCGTTGTGAACGAGTAGCCACGCTCCGTCAGGATCTTCATGAGGTAGTCGGTCAAATCCCTTCCGGCCAGGTCCAACCTGAGGATCGCATGAGGAAGGGCGTAACCTGAAGGAAATCAGGACCATCAATGTACTCTCAGCTAGGTCAATAATCGATCCATTTACTAACCCCTGCTGATATTCCATAATCTAAGGCTTCAATGGTCGATAACATCGAACTTATCGATATTCGATTTTCAAATTTCTATAAACCATTAATGATCGATAATCGCTCGATTTTCCAACATCTATAGATATTCCAATTAACGAATAATCGTCGTTATCCATATTCCAATACACAACCTATCCAAAACTGTAAATTATTCAAAGGTTTAATTATGTATAGATATTGTGAACGTAGCGATAATCCATGATTAACAATCGATTTTGTTCAACAGTCGATATTCTATAATCTAAGGCTTTATGATCGATAATTTAGAAATTATCGATATTCCAATATATAACCTATACAAAACTGTATATATTCAAGGGTTTAATTGTGTATAGTTATTGAGAACGTAGCGATAATCGATTATTAACGATCGATATTCTATAATCTAAGGCTTTATGATCGATAATTTAGAAGTTATCTATATTCCAATATATAACCTATCCAAAACTGTATATTATTCAAGGGTTTAATTATTTACAGCTATTGTGAAGGTAGCGATAATTCATTATTAACAATCGATTTTCCTCAACAATCGATTTTCCTCAACAATCGATATTCTATAATCTAAGGTTTTATGATCGATAATTTAGAAGTTATCTATATTCCAATATATAACCTATCCAAAACTGTATATTATTCTAGGGTTTAATTATGTATAGATATTGTGAACGTAGCGATTATCGATTATTAACAATCGATTTTGTTGACCTCTATTGATATTCTATAATCTAAGGCTTTTATCACCGATAATTTTGAATTTATTGATATTTGATTGGTAACAATCGATCTTCCAACTTTCCTAACTAAGGGTTCAAGTATCGATCAGATAAAAGTTATCGATCAGATTATCAACAATCGATATTCCAATTATTCCTGTTCAAATAGTACCATGATCGATAATATGGAAGTGTTGACATGTAATCTTTAACTATCGATAATCTCGAAATTATCGATATTCGAATATAACATTTGATTTTCGAACTCTATAATTTAGGGCTTCATTGATTGATAATATTGAAGTTATCGATATTCGATTATAACATTTGATTTTCAAACTCTGTAATTTAGGGCTCTAATGATCGATAATATCGAAGTTATCAGTATTCCATTATAACAATGGATTATACAACTATCCATAAACTAAATCTTCAGTGGCCGAACAATATCGCTGAAATAATAATTGATTGTTTCTATATAATTTCCGATGCTCTGTCATATTGATATATCGATTATTTGCAATTGATGTTATTATTTATGATACTATTGTTGTTAAATATTGTCGTAGCCGTTTGGAAACTCGATTTTCAGCGTGCTTTTCTAGGTTAGGAAATCATTGAACTAGGTCTACTCTGACCTAACCTAGAATGACCCGAGTTGAAACCTTAACCTATCAAGTAGGACTTAACCTATAAAGAACTTAGGTTGCGTGAAGTTTTTTTTTTTAAAGAGCCTCTATTGAATGAATTCGTCATCCTTGAACTCATTTAATCACCGTGCAGTTAATATTTATCTGATTCACGACTGCCCTGGCTTTCACGGCTTGGCGGTGCAGCTAATTGACCCGGTTTTCTTCCAAATTAGAACTTCCATAACCCGTGGCCCATTAGCATGATTAAACCGCTCGCGAGTTGTCTGCGTTATCCGTGACTAATTGTCCGCCGTTTGGGCCGATGACCTCACCTTCGTAGATTGGAACCGTGTGCGAGACACCGTCGCCGGAGTCGAGGACTATGCCCGTCGTCCTCCCTGAGGCGTAGAGCGAGAGGACGGCCTGGATGGCGACGTACATAGCCGGTGTGTTGAAAGTCTCGAACATAATCTGGACAGAAAGGACCAGGTGAGTTACGATTCGTCGGAGAGAGTTTCGAGCTCGTCACCTGTGTCATCTTCTCCCTGTTGGCCTTAGGGTTGAGCGGTGCCTCTGTGAGGAGGACGGGGTGCTCCTCGGGCGCGATTCGGAGCTCGTTGTAGAAAGTGTGGTGCCAGATCTTCTCCATGTCGTCCCAGTTTGTCACGATTCCGTGCTCGATGGGGTATTTGACGGTGAGGATCCCCCTTTTGCTCTGGGCCTCGTCTCCGACGTACGAGTCCTTCTGGCCCATGCCGACCATGATACCCTAGGCAAAGAAACATTTCAAAAATAACGACGCTTCATAGAAAATCAAAATCCAAAACAACTAAATAAAAATGAAAAAAGAAAACATAATTTAAAAAATATGCTTGAAGAGTTTCTAGCATCGATGCCAATAATCGAACATCGATAATTTCGCTATTATCGATCATGGAAGCCTCAGATTATGGAGTATTGATAGAGGTTGAACAATCGATTGTTTACACTCGATTATCGATCATTACAGTTGCAAAATAGGTGTCAATAATCGAATATCGATAGCTTTTACATGATCGATAATCAATCCTCAGATTATGGAGTATCGATATAGGTTGACAATCGATTGTTTATAATCGATTATCAATCATTACAGTCGCAAAATCGATGTCAATAATCGAATATCGATAACTTCTCAACTAACCATCATAGAAGCTTCAGTTTTTCGATTATCGATAGGGGTTGGATAATTGATTGATTATCGATGATGAATAGATTTCAAAGTAGAAAGTTTCAAAATCGATGTCGATAATCGAATATCAATAACTAATATATTATCGATCATCGTGTCGTCAGACTATGGAATATCGATATATGTTGAAAAGTCGATTGTTTATAATCGATTATCGATCACGACAGTTGCAAAATTGATGTAAATAATCGAATATCGACAACTTCTACATTATCGATCATGAAAGCCTCAGATTATAGGAGATCGATAGAAGTTGAAAAATCGATTCTCTCTAATCGATCATTGCAGTTACAAAATCGATGCCGATAATCGAATATATATAAACTTCTATATCATCGATCTATAAGGCTATCTATGTATGTTGGAAAATCGATCCCTTATGATTAAATATCGATAATTTTGATATTATTGCTCTTAGAACCCCTTAGGCTATGAAAAGTGGGAAAATCGATTGTTAATAATAGAATATCGATATTGTAACCATATCTATCGTTGAAACCATTTAGACTATGAAATATCGAAAAATCGATAGTTAATAATCGATTACCGTTAGTTTGACGTCAATCATCGCCCATACCACACTCTAAACTGGTCGATGTACACTATAAAACACCGATATTCGATGAATTGTCGATATTAACCTGAAGTATCGATAGATTGTCAATAACTGAATATACGAAACAATTGGTTATCGATACTCTTAATTTTAAATAGCACTAAACGATTTTTGACCCTGATGTCGATAAGGTCATAATCATCGACAATATGGGTATATATATATATACTTATTAATAATCGATTATAGGATGTCTAGGATATCATATGTGATTTATTTCGGAATATCCAACTCACTTGGTATCTGGGCCTTCCGACGATTGACGGGAAGACGGCCCGGGGGGCGTCGTCACCGGCGAACCCGGCCTTGCACATCCCGGAGCCGTTGTCGACGACAAGCGCAGCCACGTCTTCGTCACACATGTCGCTAGTTGAAAACTGCCTGTAGAATATGAAAACCACTCTGGACGCGCTGCCTCGGGGATCGACTGAGGCCACCGGCACCGGGAGTCGGACGTTTATACGAGAGGACACGCTCTGATACGCGCCGCCACCTCCGAGGAAAGGAGGACCCACGGACGGGAGAGAGAGCGAGAGATATGAGCAGATGCACCCGAACATACGTGGAACACGCACAACACTCTAACACACAAATCCCTCCTATTGACAATTTTTATCCCTTGTCATATGCTGTCCTGAACAGATCTCTCTCTCTCTCCTCTCTAATACAGCATCTCACTTTCTTTAATTTTTTATCTCTCTTTACCAAAACATTTTCCCTCTTTAACACAACATCACTCCTTCTTTAGTTTTTTACTGCCCCTTCACTTCTACCTTTAGTTTTCCTCTCTCTTTCTCCCTCTTTACTTATCTTTCTCTTAAACACAGTTTTCTGACCGTTTCTTTATTCTCTCGCTCATTCTCTCTCTATCTCTATCTGTCTATCTATCTCTATCTATCCATCTACCTGATTAAAGCAGCATCGTTTTTTCTTTTGTTTCAACCTTAATCGTTCCATTTCTATTTTACCTTCAGTCTTTTGTATACCCTCTCCCCTTTAAACGTCAGGTTAGGTTGCGGTTAATGATAGGTTAGGTAAGAAATGGTTAGGGTCAGGGTGCGGGCTGGGTTGGGTTAGAGAAAAACTCCGGTAAGTTAGAGTTAGGTTTGGCTGTGTAAAAAAGGGTTAGTTCAAAATGTTCAGGGGATAGGGACGGGCTGGGTTGTGTTAGGGAAGAGCTAAGTTAAGATAGATAAGAGTTGTGGTTAGATTATGCAAAGAAGGGTAAGGTTACGTAAGGACTAGTGTGGGCTAGGTTAAGGATGGTTAGATAGTGTTAGGGACGGGCTGGGTTGTGTTAGGGAAGAGCTAAGTTAAGTTAGATAAGAGGTGTATTTAGATTATGTAAAGAAGGGTTAGGTTAGCTAGGTTTGGTAAGGTTGGGTAAGGTTACGTAAGGAATAGTGTGGGCTAGGTTAAGAATGGTTAGGGGCAGGCTTGGTCAGGTCAGTTACAGTTAGAGTTGGGTTATTTAAAGAAGAGTTTGGTTAAAATCATTAGGGCCGAGGAGGGGCTAGTAAAGCCCTGGGGGTAAAGTGGGGCTGGAGTAAAGTTAGAAGGGTTAGGTCGAGAATGGTTAGCGACGGGCTGGGCTAAGTTGGGTTAGGTAGGGTTAGGGACGGTATAGGTTAAGTCAGATAGAGTTAGGGTTAGATTATGTAAAGCGCATTTGAATTAAAATTATTAGGGTTAGGTTGATTAAGGTTAGGTAAGGAATAGTTATGGCTAGGTGAAGAATGGTTTGGCTAAGTTATAAAGTGTTAGAGTTGGCTTATGTAAAGAAGGGTTAAGTTAAAATGTTTAGTAATGGTTAGTTAAATAGTGCGGTACCCGGTTGTAAAGAGGACGGCACCTAAATGGTCAGATGGTTAGGTTAGAAGGTTAAGGACGATCTTCGTTAGGGTTAAGTTAAGTTTAGAATGGTTAAGTAGGGTTAGGCTACATGATTTTCCCAGCTTTCTTTTGACTCTCTTTTGACATATGATTTTCCCTTGATAATTCTCAACCTCTAGTCCTTCCTTTCTTTCTACATTTAATCTTTTATGTTTCACTTCTCTCTCTCTCTCTCTTTCTCCCTCCCACCCACCCACTTCACCGTCACTCACTACACATTCTCCAGTCCTTAATTTTGTTTCCCTTCTCGTCATTATTCTTTCTCCCATCTCCTACGGATTTTCCCTGACTTATCTTTTTCTCTCGCCCACTGTATTTTCTATTATCACTCACTCATTCTCTATTCTTTTTTCCTTGCTCTCCCTCTTAAAACTTATTATTTTTGGCCTTAGTGCACTTTCCTACTTTCCTCTTAGGAAGAACGAAACTAAATCGTTGTGATGTGTAAAAGGGCTTGCACTTATCGCGGCTTAATTGGCGGGGAAAGTCGCTCGTCGTTTAATTAATTAACAATTTATTTAAAAAACAACAACAACAATCGCAGCGCGCGGGGCTGGAGAGCGTGTCAATGTTAATTCCATCGGGGCAATTAACTATGAGGAGGATGAGCGCACTAATTCCCACGAGACGAGACGCACCGCGGCCTTGCACTACACGGCAGAACGACCCCGATCCACTACTTATCAAGAAAGATGACCCATTACAAAAGATTCACCCTTCACCTTTATTCGACTTTATTTATATAATTATATCAATGGAGACATCCCTTTATGACAAATCCATCGAGATCAGGTTAATTAAGGTTAATCAGGATAATCCAATGGACTGCCCACCCATCCGTGACTAATCGCCTATACTTTACGTCTATTCAGTTAATATAAAGCATTCTGAAACAACTCCAATGTTTTTTAGAAAAATTGAAGTTGTAGTTGAAAGAATGGATTCTCCTGCAGTCCTAAAGGGCGAAGGATTGGAGGTTAATTCCGTTGAACCATTCTACTGAGGGAGAGATTGCCCTTGAGCGATTTTCAGGACACTGGGCTCCGGGTATGGAAAGGGATGGATCGATTGCGAAGTCCACACAAAAAAAAAAAAAAAAAATCGAAAAAATTTTACTGTCTTTTTGGATGTAAAACGCTCGTAGGACACGTTTTTTTACGTTCTAATTTCAGGACTTTTTACATTTGTAAATCGTTACACTTGTTATGAAATGTTTTTTCAGCCTAGTCCAGGATAACAGGAGGTGAAAAATGTATCAAATATCGATAATTCTGTAAATTGGCTAAAAGAGCCAAAGGGACCAGTTTTATTGTCTTTTTCGATGTAAAAAGCTCGGACACGTTTTTTTCAAGAAAAACGAAAAAAAATCGAAAAAAATTGTATTCTTTTTCGATGTAAAAGGCTCGTAGGACTTTTTTTTTTTAGAAAAACGCAAAAAAAACGAAAAAAATGTTATTGTCTTTTTCGGTGTAAAAGGCTCGTAGGACGTTTTTTTCCCCCCAAGAAAAACGCAAAAAAACCCCAACAAATCGAAAAAAATGTTACTGTCTTTTTCGGTGTAAAAGGCTTGTAGGACACGCTTTTATTTTTATTTATTTTTTTTTTTCAAGGAAAACGCAAAAACCTCCCAAAAAATCGAAAAAATGTTATTGTCTTTTTCGATGTAAAAGGCTCGTAGAACTTTTTTTTCCAAGAAAAACGCAAAAAAATCGAAAAAATGTTATTGTCTTTTTCGGTGTAAAAGGCTTGTAGGTCACGCTTTTATTTATTTATTTTTTTTTTTTTTTCAAGGAAAACGCAAAAACCTCCCAAAAAATCGAAACAATGTTATTGTCTTTTTCGATGTAAAAGGCTCGTAGGACTTTTTTTTCCAAGAAAAACGCAAAAAAAAATCGAAAAAATGTTATTGTCTTTTTCGGTGTGAAAGACTTGTAGGACACGCTTTTATTTATTTTTCAAGAAAAACGCAAAAACCCCAAAAAATCAAAAAAATGTTAGTCTTTTTCGATGTAAAAGGCTCGTAGAACGTTTTTTTTCCAAGAAAAACGAAAAAAAAAACTCGAAAAAATCTTATTGTCTTTTCGGTGTAAAAGGCTTGTAGGACACGTTTTTATTTATTTAATTTTTTTTTTAAGAAAAACGCAAAAAAAACAACCAAAAAATCGAAAAAAATGTCTTTTTCGATGTAAAAGGCTCGGTTCTTTTTTTTTTTCCAAGAAAAACCCCAAAAAGATTTTTAAAAAATGTTATTGTCTTTTTCGATATAAAAGGCTTGTAGGACACGTTTTTATTTTTTTTTTTTTTCAAGAAAAACGCAAAAAAAACAAAAAATCTAAAAAAATGCTATTGTCTTTTTCGATGTAAAAGGCTCGTAGGACTTTTTTTTCCAAGAAAAACGAAAAAAACGCAAAAAATCGAATTTTTTAAAATCTTTTTCGATGTAAAAGGCTCGTAGGACAGTTTTCTTCAAGAAAAACGAAAAAAAATCGAAAAAAATTTATTGTCTTTTTGGATGTAAAACGCTCATAGGACAGGTTTTTTTTTTCAAGAAAAATGCAAAAAACCCCAAAAATGTGAGACCGCATCTCCTCCAAATAATCATTAAGTAATGGTCACTAAACACCACATATTTAATACTGTTGGTCATCTTATAAAAGTTGGCTCGGTGGGTAGGTAGGATCTGTGGAATCTACGGCAGGGATTCGGAGGGCATAAAATGTGTCCCACGCTTAATCACCACAGTAGCAGGCTTCTATCGCTGGCCTCTGACAGATTTAAATCGTTACATAAATTTCTTTTTGTTTTATGCCACTATAAAGAAAAATTTTCTTTCATTGATGATAAAAAAAAAAATTTAAAAAAACAAAACGTATATTTAATATCTAATATTTATTTAGAGCCAATTTAACCAATGATATTTTACAATTCTCATACTTGGAAGAACAGAAAAGGAAGTAAAGACCAAAAAACATCTAATTCTAACAACTTTCAATGAACTTTTGTAATCAATAAAAACAAAATAATAAATTTAAAAAAAAGGTCAAACAATCTTAAAATATTTTTGATTCGATGGGACATTTTGTCAATGTTAATCACTAATTATACTTTTAATCTAAGGTCTTGGTTGTGATGAAAAAGCAAGTGTCAAGAGTGGGATTCAAACCCATGACTTCGAGGGGCTCAACATGCCGCTACTCTAACCACTTGGAGAGTGAGCCGAAGGTTGTGGGTTCGAACCCGTATGTGACACTTACATTTTCGTCACGACCAAGACCTTAGATTAAAAGTATAATTAATTGAAATAATTAATACAGTCAATTATGACTACTAAATACATATATGGGGGAATCACTAAATTTTACAATAAGCCCGCCCACTACCCAGAAAAAGTAACCTTTACGTTCTTTCTCATAGGGAAAAAAAACGAATGGTACTTTATCTAATATATTTTATTTATTTAATTTTTTTTGCGGTAACTTTTGTTTTAAATGTGTAGAGATATTTAAATTATCACAGAAAATGTCTAGAGTCGAATGATAACAAAAGAACAAACTTCACTCACTCGTATGTTTCATAAATAATTTATAGATTTTTTTTTTTGCCCCCTAATGACAAAAATTTTAAACAAATTACCTATATATTTATATATTAGTTTAACAAATATAAAATATCTTTTTAAACAATTCAACTACAATTAAGCTAATAGGTTTTTTCTTTAGGACATCACACATCACAGGAAACATCCCAGGGTGAGTTCAAGTTGAATAAAGTCAAACTTCACTTTTGAACATATACAATGATAAACTTTTAGAAGGAGAAAAAAATTATACATTTCTTCTTGGACCAATAATAATGTTTGAACATTCTCACCCTTTATTTCAGACCCAGAGGAGAAAGCAAAAATGCGTCAACCCAAATTGAAACGTTAAAAAATAAGACTAGTAAAAAGTAACAATGATAAAATGAGGACAAACTTTCAAAGGGATCGTCTTAACAATCTGACCGTGTTTCTACTTAGGTTTTATTCGCTTCGGCAGACAGGTCAGCAGGCACCTGTTGAACCGGCGGCACGCAGTTTCCTCTATTCAGGTGTGTACGTAGTGTCCGGCGCGTCGTGAAGACCTTAGAGCACCGCGAACAAGTCAAGAAACCTCTGTCGTGCGTCTTGAGGTGCGTCATGAGATAAGCTTTGCATTTGAATGTCTTTCCGCACATCTATTCAGAATTTTCCTTTAAATATTTTCATAATGATAATAATAAAATAAAAGTGTCACCTCGCATTCGACGTGGATGTCCGTGTGTTCGGCCTTGTGTACGTCAAGTTTGCTTTTGCGGTTGAACGCCATCCCACAGTCGGAACAAACGTAATCGCACCTACCCGTGTGCAACGTGGTGTGAACGTCAAGAATAGATTTACGGGCGAAAGACCGGCCGCAAAACGTGCAAGTGTAAGGCCTCTCACCTGTGTGAGTCCTCTCATGTACTCTCACATCATACTCAGAGGGAAAAGTCCTAGAGCAGTACGAACATTTGCTCTGCCTTGACCTATAAAAAGTATTAATATTCTATTCATGTATTTTCACCCTCTTTGACTCATTATCAGAGTATAGAATACAGAACCTGCAAATTTTTTTATAACTTGAAATATTTTTTTACCTATGGTATCTCCTGTTGTGCTTCCTCCAGGCTGGTAGTGATTCGAAAGAATTGTTGCAACGCGGGCACGTTACTGGGAGAGGATGTGTTGCGAGATGATCCCTCAATGAGGAGCGGGATGAGCCGATGAACCCACATGCTGAGCACAACAGCCCCCTCCTGCGATTTGTCTTGTTTTCAGTGAGACAAGAGTGAGAGGAGAGGCGTTCCTGGGTCTGATAGCGGCGTTTGCATATGTCACATTGGAACGGTCGCTGCTGGCCAACATGCTCGTCCATGTGGAGCCGGAGGCTCGCCCTTTCCGTAAACGTCTTGTTGCATATCCGACATAGGAAAACATGATGCGGCCCCTGCGAGTGTAGCCGGGAGACGTGGTCCTTTAAGTGGGCGTTCTGTGAGAACGATTGGCCGCATTCGGCGCAGCCGAACGGCCGTTCGCCAGTGTGGATGCGCAGGTGGACCATCAATGACGTGCGCGACGACAACTGCTTGTTGCATATGTTGCACAGTGCGGGCGAATTTCTCACCACTTTCGAACCTGCCATTATCACTCCTGTACCGCATTCCGACTTCATATGATACGTCAAAGTAGACTTGTAACGAAACAGTGCAGAACACCTGAACAAATAAAATATCGAGAATTTTTTTTATAATAAAAATTCATTATAAAAATTTCAAATTAGTTACAAACTGGTTGCATTTGAATTTGCACGCCGATTTAATCGAGCTTTTTCCTGACTTTTTCTGCCTGCGCCTACTCACACTTGTCTCTGCGAGAAAGTGTGCAACTTTGTACTCAAGCTCATCCTAAAAAAAAGGCAAAAAAAAAACCTGAATTTTCAAGTAAACTGCTTTTTGAATCAAATGGTTCCTACTTCAAGATCGTTTTCGGCGTCTTTCTCATCGCCTTCTTCTTCTTGCGACTTGTCCTTGGTGAAACCTTCGCAATCCTGCGCCAAGCCCTCGACCATCTCTTCCTTAATGCGAGTCTTGAACTGCTCTAATGATATGCCGCATCTGAAATTATAATTAGAAGGAAAATTTATGTATATAATTTTTTATTTATTTAGAAATCGTGAGATGCGGTCTGGTGTGATGTAGGTTTCAGAAAAACATTTTCTTTATCGTACCAACGTTTCGATCTTTATTGAGATCATCTTCAGGGCCTGGGATTTACAAAAATTGTTTACATATAAAAATTACATTTTGGATGTGGAAAAGTGAATTTATACAATGCAAAATATATTTTTTATATATTCAAAGTATTTCTACTCACTCAGTGTTTTTCTTCTGTGTTCGAGAGTGTCAGTGAGATTTTGCTATTTTGTGTTTATATGCGTTGGATTTTGAAGGGGTGGTGAAGGATGTCGGTATAGAAAAGACATTTTTGTATAAGGCGTCGGCTTCTTTGAGGTGAAAAGAGCCGACTAAGGGAAAAAATGTGTTGGTAATGGTTCGGTCAGATTATCCTTTCAGGATTATATAGAAAGGGATAAAATAAGAAAAGGAAAGCTAAATTGTTGGGAAATTAGACTATGTGAAAAATATTTGATGTGTGGAATGTAATGTGATGATATAGGTATGTTATCTGTATTGAATTTGATTATATTGGCGTAGCTGCGACTGAGTTTAGATGTTTCTATTCTGTAATTGATGCTGTGTTTATCTCTGTTGATATAAACCATTTCTAAGAAATTACGTTTGTTTGTTTTGTTCTGTGTGTAATACTTTTGGATTTTTGAAGTCGAAATTGTCTTGGTGTTCAAGATGGTGGGTAGCGAGTGCTGTAAGATTTTACTTAGGTTTTTTGCAATGATAGATATGTTGCTTTACTCTCTTGTCCAGATATTGGGATGTAAGACCGATGTAAGTTGCCGTACAGTTTAAACTGTTGATCTTGTAGATTACGTCAGATTTATTTGTTATTAGTATGGGATCTTTAATGGAAAAAAAGTGTGTGAATTGTTTTATAATTTTTGAAAGCTATTTTGAAGTTAAGTTAAAAAAATATTAAATTCGCTAATTTCGTGGTCCGCTTGACCAATTAATACATTACAATTAATTAAGGCTTTTAGTTGAGATGAAAAAAAGTTAATGGCACGAGAGGGATTCGAACCCATGACCTTCGGCTAGATATGCCGCTGCTTGACCACCTGAGCTATCGTAACCTCGATCCACTCGGACATCAACTCCCCATCACAACCCCACCTTATGAGTTTTCCCTCCTTTTGTCATTTTTCAATTGTTGTGTAATTGGTTTGGATTCTCGACGACAATTGAAATGGCGATGGAGAGCTTTAGTGAAGTGTACTTCATTTTAATCATTAATGGAAAAATGGCAAAAGGAGGGAAAACTCATAAGGTGGGGTTGAGATGGGGAGTTGATGTCCGAGTGGATCGAGGTCACGATAGCTCGTGGTAGAGCAGCGGCGTATCAAGCTGAAGGTCGTGGGTTCGAATCCCTCTCGTGCCATTAACTTCTTTTCATCTCAACTAAAAACCTTAATTAATTGTAAGTTAAAAAAATATATTTTGCATTGTATAAATTCACTTTTCCACATCCAAAATGTAATTGTTATATGTAAACAATGTTTGTAAATCCCAGGCCCTGAAGATATCTCCATAGAGATCGAAACGTTGGCAAATACAAAGAAAATGTTTCTCTAAATCTACGTTNTGCTGCAATTGGAGAGGGCCTAACTCAGAGGAGTGGTAGGACTACTAACTGGTCACTAGTATCTGAGAAAACATCTACACAACATGGGTATATACAGCGATGACCCCATTTGCAGCCTATTGGCTGAACTAAGGTACTAGGAAGGTACAATAAGCCAGAAGGCTGCAGTGCCTGAGGAATACCAACCCCGCTTCATAGTATCCTTTCCACCATACCATACATCGGGTCTTGGTCGCCCACCCTGCATAATATATACCGTATAATTTCAATAAATACTTCAACAATGTTTTTTTTTTTCATTTGTAAGTTTTATACTCACTTGGGGGTTCGTAGGCAGGTTTTGACTATAAAAAGGGGTCCATGGGTCAAAAAAGTTTGGGGACCACTGGACTCAACTAGTCTTTTCAATTGTTCCCTGCCATAGTCTTCTATTACGACTTATCCATTTTTATTTTGGGGCGTTAATTTAAAGCTATGTTTTCAGTTATCAATAGCCATTATTCCATAACCATATCCAACCTGTTTGTTATATGGCATTTACCTCGGGATGTCCGTGTCTTCATCGTCGTCCTCGCTTGTCCCGTACCTCAGGTCCGGTTCTTCTTTGACTGTCTGGCACTCGTCCATCTCTGGTCCACCGTTCAACGGGGGCTCATCTCCCGAGTTCCACCCCCGGTTCAGGTCCTGCGAGGAATGAGGATGGGGAGAAAGGGGCGGCAACCCTTTTCTGCAAGGCCCAGGAGGAGGCCCCCTAAAACAGAGGGCCGGTTCGTGTTCAGCCTGTATTTAAAGAAAACCGGCCTCCGCGATAAGACTGGGGCGAAATCCGACTCGTCAACCGGGTAATATAAAAGAACCATAAATTGTCCCAATTAAAAGAAAAATCATTTTTCGCATATTTAGTTTTAACCAGGGAGAAAAACTTAAAGGGGTGTTTTAAAAATAAACTTTTATCAAACAATTATCAGACGTAATAAGGCGGGAGTCTGGTGAACGAAGGGCCAAGAATATCGTACTCGGTTTGCCTGAAAAATCGCATAAAAATGGTAAAAATTATTTTTTAAACTTTATTTATGTACCTAATTGTTCAGTAAAAAAACAGATTTGTTGTCAAGACAGTGTATTGTTACAAATTCTGGACGGTTTGGACGTTAAGTGGGTATTGACACATCATAGCGGCAGGATTTTGAACAGTTGTCATATCTTGGATGGGTTTCAACTGTTGTGGCTGCTGAATCTGCTGCTGGATCTGCTGTTGCATGTGTTGCGGCAATGGTTGAATTTGTGCCATGTATTGTACGATCGGGTTTGACTGCACGTTCTGAGAAGGGATGTGGTTTACGACCTGGTAGTTGTCGTTCTGTCCAGGCACAGGTTTGACGAAGAGCGGGTTGTCGCAGTTGAAGCAGTCGTCTTGCAGACCGTTGCGCCTGTTACAGACACAGTCGCACTGGAGCTTGCCGGCGATTATGAACTTGTTGGGGCCGTTGGACTGCTTCGTCTGACCCTGTGTCTGCTGGGCCTGTTGGAAAGTTTCCATCTGCTGGCTCGGTTGGAAGTTTTCCATCTGCTGGTTCGGCTGGAAGCTCTTCACCTGTTGGTAGTGGCCCTGGTACGGCATGTACTGCTGGAATTTCTGAACGGGCTCGATATTGTGCACTTCCGTCATAGGGTGAATGTGCGGTGCACAGCATTTTGGCACCTGCTGCCAGTCCATGACAGTGCTGACCGGCTGGCTCACAGCTGGCATCGCCTGTGCCATACTCTGCGGGATAAAACTAGCCTGCTGCTGAGGCTGCTGCTGCTGCTGTTGCACAGGCTGAAAGCACTGATACTGTGGTTGCACCGTAGGAGAAGTAGCAATTACATTGCAAGGAACATTCGGGAAATTCTGAGAGCACATCATATTTGCCATTTTATATTGAAATTATATTTATTACCCTTTCAAATCTTCAAATTTCTGCCTCTTCTTTCGTCTACTCTTCTTTTAATGTGTGCAGCAACCGTTGTTCTTTTTTTTTTTTTTTTTTTAATAGTATATTCTGAAGTATTAGAATAGTGGAGAGTTTTGCATTGTTCTGTGTCTGTGATCCCTAATAAAATATTGTAATTATGAAATGTGAATAATGCAACATGTGATTAATTTTTTAAACACATGCTCATAAATAATTAAAAACAAAAAATACACTTACCAAAAAAACAAAAAAAAACATATTTCATTACAAAACACTTGTAAATTTTTACTTCAAGCGACAACACTACATCAATCACTGACATAAAAAAACCAAACCTGAAAAAAATTTCAACTTTTTTTTTAAACTGATACACAAAAGGACAAGATGGCTTCACTGAACGATGCAAAGACTCTTTCCACTCCGGAATCACCGGCGGTTGATACACTTGACACGAGTGCAGGTATCGTAGAAGTGGCGAATCCTAAGTTCAGGATAGTAGCGGGCAAATGTCACCGAAGGTGTATCTGTTCGAGGAAGAACGGTCTGACGGAGAAGTGTCGCGTCCCTGGCTGTATGAACACCCAATGAACATGTTATTTTGAATATCGACAATAAACAACTTAATGATTTGCCTTTCTTTCAATATAGAAAATACAATTATAATTATCGGTAATGAATATTTCAATTAAAGTTAAATGTCCCTTAGCATGCCAGTTTTTCTGATAACTTCAAATCACTTAACCCAGACTAGGGTCATTAATTTTTTTTCAAATTTTAAATTAATTTACACAGAAGGCCTTATCCAAAAATTACCAGGTTTAAAACGCCATGCATAGGTTTATTTTTTTTAATTTAAGATTACACTTCTTCATGGACACACACAATACATCGATCATACTTGATCCTAAGATTGCATGACATTAAAAATCTCTTCTGACTATCTTAAAACACCAGGCAGGGTGTTGCATACTAGTTTAATTCTTAATTAAAAATATTTTATGTCATGTTATTTTAGTTTAAAGATTTTGAAGTACTTGCAGTACCAATAAAATTTAAAGTTTGTGGTTTTAAGTTAATTTCAGGCACTTGCAGTACCATCAAAGTCTGAATTTTCTGTTTTAAGTCAAATTCAGGCTTCTGACTACTGGGAGTACTAGCAAAACCTGAAGTTGACTTAAAACGCAAACTTCAGATTTCTAAAGTACTGGCAGTACCATTAAAGTCTGAATTTTGTGCTTTAAATTAATTTCAGGCTTCTGAAATACTTGCAGTACCATCAAAGTCTGAAGTTTGTGTTTTAAGTCGAATTCAGGCTTCTGACTACTGGGAGTACTAGCAAAACCTGAAGTTGGCTTAAAACATAAACTTCAGATTTCTAAAGTACTGGCAGTACCATTAAAGTCTGAATTTTGTACTTTAAGTCAATTTCAGGATTCTGGGGTACTTGCAGTACCATCAAAGTCTGAAGATTGTGTTTTAAGTTTACTGCCAGTAATCCCAAGAATCAGGAAATTGACTTAAGGCCACAACTCTAGAAACCTGAAGTCTGTGGCTTTAAGCCAATTTCATGCTTTTACAGTACATGCAGTACTGTATTCTGGAGTATTTGCAGTACTATCAAAGCCAGAAGTTTGTTGCTTTAAGTCAATTTTGGGCTTCTGAGTGTTTGTACTATCAGCAAAGTCTAAAATTTGATCTTTAAGTCAATTTCTTGCATTGCAGTTACTGCCAGTACTTGAGAAGAATGGAGTTCATGGTTTAACATAATTTCAGGCTTTGCTCATACTGTCAGTAGTCCTCAGAAGCCTGAAATTGACTAAACACCAAACTTCAGACTTCTGGAATACTGGCAGTACCATCAAAGCCTGAAGTTTGATCTTTACGTATTGCAAGTACTCAAAAAGAAATTGACTTAAAGCCACCGATTTCTGGCTTTGATAGTACTGCAAGTACTCCAGAATCCAGAAATTGTTTAAAGATGAAATTTTTTCTTTGCTGGTACTGTAGGTACACATGAAGTTTGTGATTTTAAATCAATTTCTTTTGGAGTACTTCCAGTACCATCAAAGTCTGAAATTTTTATTTTAAAACATTTTCATTCAGAGTACCATTGAAGTCATGTTTACTGATTTACTAAAATTCTAACCTAAATGTTTGCGCTTAGCTTAAAATATTTCCAAATTAATTAAATCCACAAGACACAATTATATTTTATCAGTTAAATTTTCACATTAGAAATCTCCAGCTTTCATTTTCTGAATTGGATGGTAAATGTTGGTTGTCGACTTGGTGGATGTAGAATGTATGGTGCAACCTCCGGGTGGGCAAATGTCCTGCAACCCATTGCGCCGGTTGCAGTTGCAAAAACGCTGCGTTTTCATTTTAACAACGTTGATATTATTGTTTGCATTCACGTCATTCAGATTGCTTGCCAGGCTGCTTCTCGACTGGCTCTTCACCGGAGGACTTAAGAAAAACGAAGGTGGTACCGCCTGACACATCGTGTTCTGCATACCCTCCATATACTGGGGTTGAGGTATGCACTGAGCCACTGGAATGTAGGTCTGTCCCGGAGGATACACGTACCCAGCCAGGGGCACTGATGGCATGCATAATTGAGATTTTGCTCTATGAGCCCGGGCCAGTGAATTCTGAGATGGCGACTTCTTACACTGAGTTTGATTCTGCATGTACTGACCCCGTGTGAGAGAGTTTTGAGATGGTGTCCTCTTACAGTGAGGTTGGGCCTGTATGCACTGGCCTTGAGGAATTACATCCCTGGATGGTGTCTTCTTGCAATGAAATTGACCCTGAGGAAGAACATCTTGAGAAGGGGTTTTCTTACACATTTGGGACTGTACACCTTGAGGAAGTACGTCCCGAGAAGGCATCTTCTTACACAACATCTGAGTCTGTACACACTGACCCTGAGGTACAGGTATAATTTCTTGAGGTGCTAACTGTTTATACATAGGTTGAACCGGCATGCACTGACCTTGAGGTATTAATTCCTGAGGCGGCAATTGATTGAACTGAGGTTGAATCTGTGCACACTGACCCCGCGGTACTATTTCCTGAGGTGGCAATTGATTGAACTGAGGTTGAACCTGCGTGCACTGACCTTGAGGTATTATTTCCTGAGGCGGCAATTGATTGAACTGAGGTTGAACCTGTGCACACTTACCCTGCGGTACTATTTCCTGAGGTGGCAATTGATTAAGCTGAGGTTGAACATGCGTGCACTGACCTTGTGTTATTTCCTGAGGCGGCAATTGTTTGAACTGAGGTTGAACCTGCGCACACTGACCCTGTGGTATTATTTCCTGAGGCGGCAATTGATTAAACTGAGGTTGAACCTGTACGCACTGACCCTGAGGTGGCCCACGTTGTACGACATGGTACGGAGTCATCTTAGGTGTCGTAGGGCAGAACATATTGTTCTGCACCGGCATCGGAACACAAGGCTGAGGTGCATTCTGCGTCTGGTTGCCTGGGTTTGTAGGCGCCTCTTGAGCTGGCTGCTGCGCCTGGTTTTCCTTTACTTGTACTGGGTTCATTTCTTGAACAGAAACCGGCTGGCCTGAGGTTACATTGCCAGGCACGTTTAAAGCTGGCGGTTGCGGATTCGACTGGATCTGATGGCTTGGACCGTTTGGTCCGACTGTGTTTTCAGCATTCGTATTTTGTACAGGATGCCACTGGTTCACAACAGGCGCAACAGGGCCATTCGGTTCGACGGGCATCTGAGAATAAGGATGAGCGACATCCTCCTTGTTGGCAGAAACCATATTTTGGGCGGGCATGACATTCGTGTTTTGTTCTACTTGGCCCTGACAAGCCATCTTTTATATTCCACTTAAAGAAAAAAAAAAAAAACTTACTTCAACTATCTTCTCAATAATTTTCAGAAATTTCACTTTGCCAAACTGCTAAATTGCATCTATATGCTTTTTGTCTAGTGTAATCAATAGTGAGAGCTTAAAAAAACAGTATATATATTTTT